AAACTTCAGTGAAAATTTTTTAACAGTGTATGAAAGGGAATATGGATTTTCAGAAAAAATGTTAACATAGAATTGCAATTATTATTGATAGGCTATTTACAATGTCGAGCTATCAGTGATAGAGTTGGTTAATTATTGGCAGAACGTAATTGATAGGAGAAATTAATTAATGTCTTTTTTTCCCCTCTTTTTTTCGTTATACGTGGGAAAAGTGCGGTAACGAGATTATGGGGTAAATGGCACGGAGAATGTAAGTGATAGGTTTAATGTGATTATTAGTTAAATTGGCCTATATTGGAAAAATATGTAACCGGGCGTATGATGGATAGGGAATAAATTGAGTGAAGTAATTTTTTAGGGTTCTGAGAGACCTTAAAAAATGAAAAATGTCTCAATCTAGAACATTGCTTCTTTTCTAGGGTGAAAATCTTTCACATTTTCCTTCTATATTATTAAAATTTTGCGGTGCATGACGACCTCATTGTACAAACGTCGGCGAAAAAATTTCCTCTCTCGAGTGTGCAAAAGCCAGCCAGCCAGCCAGCCAGCATTTTTCGTAGCTTGTGGAAGACATCCACATGTTCTTCATTTAATTCCTGTTTCATTTAATATCACCAGAGAACCTCTTCACGAAACATGAAAAGCATTTTAAAAATACTACTCAGTTGTTCATGAGTAATTTATCTCTTTATTACGGAAAATAATTTGCGACGTTCTGCTGAGTCGACTCGGTATTTAGCAGCTGAAAGTGTAGCAGAAGAAAATACGTAAAAAGCACATTTGCTGGATTCACACGTACGGTACTGCATATTTACCGGCTATTTCACCAACGACTCTCTCAAAATACAGCAATCTCCATATATGTATTAGAGCATATGCTTATGGTTTTTTTTCTCTTATAGCCCTAGCAGTACATTATGTTATTGAAATTTTTTCTGTCATTTTTATTTTTTCCTCATGTACTTTTTGTCTTTTCAATTCGCTTGTGGATCACCGCGGGCTCCTCTCAAATGGCCGAGTATTATTCGATCGATCCCCGGGGCTTTTTCATGTTCTCTTACGTTTTATATCTAGACACTGTATATAGAAAGAACCATTTCAAATGTCAGCAGAAGATAGAGGGTGGAAGACCGATAGTTCGGGGGATTACGGTTGGTCGGGCGGGTGGGGTAAAATGGTAAGTTGAGCAAGAGTGGTACATACCTCAAGTTGATGGGTGAAGCATTGAAATGGTAGTGATAAATAAAAAAAAAGGAACATAAATTGAGGTGGGGAGGAGTAGGGGAAGTATTCATCTGGATCCTAAGAGGCAACAGGAAAATTTTTTCTCCTGATAAAGTGACAGAATCATTCGAGCATTATCAGGCTGAATATAATATTATATATTATCGCCAAGTTTTCAACGAAAACGTCGGATAAAGTTATTCTTCTGTTTTCCACTTATAAAGACTGAAATTCCTCACTCTCTTTCTCTCTTCGTATTTCCTTCTATAGCAATCTTTCATTACTTCACATTTAGCCCCATCTCTGCAGTGGAGACTAGAATAAATGTTGAATGAAGGGGTTTTTTTTCCAAACGTCAGAGGTGTCAACGAGCCAGTTGGAGCTCACGGGCTTCATGCAAACTGATCGCGTGACGGGATTTTCGATAGAAGTGGAAGCAACCAGTTGACCCAGGGATATATTTTCAACCGCAGAATTATTAAACGTGACGTTGAATTGTCGGAGGCTCCTGTAACTGGGGATAATGGGACGAATAGTGACACTGGGGAAAGCCGCAGGGCGTTCTGAGAGGGAGGGGGGTATTATCTACATGAAATGATAGCAAGTACAGAATTATAGTCGATTGATTCGCTATTGGCTAGGGGCCTCAGACGTCATTTGTAATTGACATACGACACTGGAACCACACCCGTTGTACTCCGGTAATGGTTTTTTGCTTGGATAAATAGCATGACAATATTGATGACATGATATTGAACGTTTTACCGATGGAATTGAAATGAAAAAATTCTGAATAAAGGGAGAAAATGGGGGGAGTTCAAACAGCCAAGGTGATGGGGAGTGGCAATAGAGAATTTCAATTGAAAATTCTTCATTCATTTTTTTCTTGATTTAATTCATTGAAGAATGGTGGAATGATTGATTGTGATTTGAATCGTGTAGTCCTTTTAATTTCTTTAGGAATCTCCTTGTTAAGGAAATTCATTGCTAAATTTTCTGTCAACTCAACTCTCAATTACACTAATAGAATTATCCAAGTGAAGCTGACCCCTTTGTTGAAAGCCTTCAACTCTACAAGCAGAAATTTTTCCCCTGACTTCAACAGGTTTTAACATTTATAACTGAGAACTTGGTGAAAGGGAGAATTTTACTTTTCAAACAAAAGGAACTATGGAATTCTTATACAGTTTCTAACAAAGTATTCTGTGAGATTCTCGACAAAAGTTGAGACTGAATAATACAAAAGACCAGGGAAATATTTCTGGAGTCGAAAGACGGAGAAAAAGGGAATTGACGGTTTCTTTCCATTTCCGAACAATTTCCGGGTGATTTCGATCGTTGCTGAGATTTTTTATTTCCGACGTAACTTCTTTACTACTACGTCGATAAAATTCTTTCCCTCAAGTATTCCATGTACCAGTGAAAACCAAGCTTCAGGAAAAATTCAGTGTGAAATCAAATTTCAAAAATTGACAATTTATTTTTCCCAAAGCTCAGCCAGGCAGTAAAAAATTGAATGTCGAAGGAGAATCCATAAATATAGAATTTCATTCAAATGTCTTTAGTTATATTTTTCATTTGCACTCGTATGTAAATTAAAACGAGTGAAAAACGAATTTTCAAGTACCGAAAAACACGAAATATTTGGGCGTTTGGTTACATCCAACGAATCGATCAGTCAATTTGACGGAATGAAATACACAGTTCAGGGAGCACGAAATATCATCACATCAAATGGCTCAACTCGTGAATATTTTTGGAAATATGATATCCCGGGGGAGGTGTTTCATTCTTTCGTCAATAGGAGTGACTTTTCCATGTATTGGAATTGCAGTTTAGAATCCAGAGGTGGAATGGTAAAACGGCTGGCATCGGAATGACAATCTTTGATTAGGCGATTATTTCGAAATGGACATGTTTTCTCTCGGCTGAGTGATATTTCACAATTTCTTCCCCACATATATTTAAATGTTCTGTAGGAGAAAAAATGAAAATTATCATTATAACAAATGCAATATCCATTTATTTGTAATATTATTTCACTTTTCACCGAATGCTCAAGTATTTCCGGAAGAAAAAACACTCTAGCGCGTGACTCGTAAAAGATAACAAATGAGTAATTCATTGTTCAGGAATGGATAAACGAAAATTGTTCTCATCTTTCGATCACCAATATTATCTCATACAATCGACAAACGAAATGGTATTCTTAAATTTCATCATTTTGCGATTGCATCGTGGATGACTAAATCGTTTGGAAATCGCAAGATCGGAAATTTACATGATGGCATTAAAAATATTGCACTTCGTGATAATACCATTAAACTTTAAAGCCAGAAATAAGAGAGAGAAAGGGAGAAAACAATGAAAAATTACGAGCAAACCAAGTTGAAAGTTTGGTAGGTATATTGGAGCTCCACAACAAATGCTTTCACATTGGAAAACTCCCCCGGGGGTCTCTGGATACCATCGTAGATAATTAACGCGATTCGAAAGAGGTCTTGAGTGGAGAAAACTCATTTCTTCCCACCATAGTTTCTCACAATTCAACGATTTCATTTATGTCAGACTATACGTACTGTTAAACTCCTCGTATGCTCCGCAGAAACTTCTCAAGTACACGCCTTAGTATGCTGTGCTGCGCGGAGGAAGCGTCGTTAAACCTTTCAACGTGCAGACAATGAATGGTTCAAGGTAATGGGAAGCCATAATCCGTAGACACATTGCACTTGATCGCTAACCATTCAACTTCTTCTTCTTCTTCATTCTCATCTCGGTTTATTCTATACGATAGGGGTCTTTCGCCAAACCATTCTTATAGGGACCAATAGGGTGCACAAAAATTGTCCATATTGACTTTTTCAATTTTTTATCTCACATTTTCAATGTGGATATCTCTGACTTTATTCATTCGTCTTCACCTCAGCTTGTCTAAGCCCATTATCCTAAACAGTCAAGTATTTCCTTAATGATTTGCTTAATTACGACCGAAACCCTTGACCCGGACTGTCTATTCGTCTCCCCCGCCCCCTCCCTCTCCCATCGCTGCTTCCACGGCAATAATTCATTTTATCACCAAGTGGTAATCGATACTCCAAAACTCCAAGTGCAAAGATATACCACAAGCCTATATCTATATCTGTACGCTATCCAACGTCCGAAAACCAGAGATGCAAGTAAAACAACGAGTATGACTTAACCCCTTGTACCACTATCTTGTACAGAAAATAATCAACACAACACGTAGAAATACAAATTGCAAACGTTGTTGTGGCCTTGTTAATTGTTTCGTATTTCACGTGAGTCGACTTCATATATTCATTCATTAATTATCTCCTTTTATATAGGGTTTAAATATATTGTACTCATGGTGTAATGGCACACCGCTGATTAAACTGGAATCGTTAATTATATTGTTGGGTCAATGTTCACACGCCAAACGAGATAATATTTGTTGCATGGCCATACGCTATTGGATTTCATAGTAAATTAATCCCCGGGTTAATAACACACCGTTTGTTCTTCCGAGATTAAATGGAATAATAATGGAGCAGGATGGCAAAATTTATGCTTGACAAAATGAGAAAAGCCAATTGATTTTTTAAATTAAAAAATAAGACTTTTTTTAATTGAGGGAGAAGCGGATTGCCTTTTAGTTTTTGTATCGAGTGCACGCCATGATGAAACATCTAAATAATTAGAATTTCTCTTGCATCATAGTGACGTAATAATAATTAACAAAAGTAAGTTATAACGAAGCAATTAGTTCACCTTACCTGTACGTAATGAATGCAAATACAAGGGCAACTAACGATAGGCTACCACCGAGAACAACAATAAGACTGAGGACACCGTCTTGATCAAGCGCACCAGCGATACCCGATGAAATGCCATTTGTCCCAGCGGCATGCCTGTTAAGACCATGAATTACTGCACCGCTGTATAGGGTATCCATAGTGTTGTCGCACTGTTGGCAGGCTTCAGGCTTCTCTTGTCGCTCGAGGGTTAATTTCTCAGGCGTTACTGCATCTGAAAGACAATGAAATGAGTCTTTCAGTTTGTACTCATCACTATCATAGCTATCTTCTCAACAACTCATTCGCAGTTATGCCACAGAGACCATAAACAATTGGATTTTTCTTATTCTTTTTATGATTTTTTTTTTCAGCGAGTTATAGAGACAATATTCAGTGCATTTTTCACTTCTAACCTTTTCAACTTGTTCAATAAAATCAGAAAACTCCTGAAATTTATTCCCGAGTGAATATATGGTAATAGATCTCCAAGTGTTGCTAGGAATTCTCTTGGGTCGGATGCATAATTAATAAGCGACTCGGAAAAATATATATAGAATATTCTTCACCACACGGAGAGAAATTTTCTACGAAAATTCTGATATGATTACTGGAAAAAATCACAATCTACCGGCTGTGAAAAATTCTAGTGCTGTTAAGGTAAAATTTCTTGGTATTTCTGGTAAAATTTCTGGGGATTTTTGTGAAATTTTCACAGGCATACTGGGAAAAATTCACGTTTTCCCCAATAAAATTTCTAGTTCCGGCACTGGAATTTTTTCCTGGCCGTCACTTTGCGCCTCTTTTCCTGTGCTAGCACTAGAATTTTTCTAAAAAATTTCTCTCCGTGGATTCTCATTTCGAGTGAAATTTTCAGGTCCATGTGTATCATTCCCACCGAGTTACCACCGAAAACTCGTCCTTGACATCGATCCATGCGAGTTGGGATTCTATTGAGATTTATGTGTTGTAAACAGGTCATTTCGTGTAAGTATTATAAGAACTATGTTTCAGCAATTACGGTGACAGAATTTATGTGTTTTTTAAACATTGAATTCTATTTGGGGATAGCATATTTTTCTCCGCATAAACATTTGCAACAAATATATTGGCTATATTAAATGTGCTCCTCATGAAAATGAAATTAGGAAAATTAAATGTCCCTCGATGGTTCCTATTGTTTATTCAGTAGTCTCTGGCGTATGTTGAGGGATTTTTTATCACTCTTCCTTTATAAATAATGTATGAGATGATGTGACAATATTTCTTTCATTAAATCTCATTCGAATATACTCTAGGTAGTATTCAATTAGAGTTAGAGTGGTAACCATTCAAATCTAACATTAAATTGTTCATGAAATAGTAATCATCAATGAAACTAAATTCAGACAGTTTCACCACTTCCCTCGTGATGACGGCATTCCATACTTCGTATACAAATTAGTGAGTGAGAACATGTCTAGGTACATATTTATTCAAATTCTGCTATTTACTCACAACTGCTGAAGGGCAACTTCATAAAAGGAAAAAAGAACTCATGCTAGGTGCACTTGCATTCACAAACTACACATCTTTCTCCGTGAATTTCATCTCTCTCTCTCTCTCGCTCTCTCTCTCTCTCTCTCTCTCTCTCTCTCTCTCTCTCTCTCTCTCTCTCTCTCTCTCTCTCTCTCTCTCTNCTCTCTCTCTCTCTCTCTCTCTCTCTCTCTTATTTACTCATTCTTCGAAACATTGAACTGGAATACGGAGTCCCCTCTTATTTATTGTTTGACGTACATTCTCGTCTTTAATAAAAATTTATAAACCATTCGGTAAAAAAATCACTTACAAAATGAGTAAACCCTGAAAATAGAATATGTACGCCGGTGTTTCACGTTGTTGTACCCATCTAAACAACAATGTTTGCCATTGGTTAACTCGGTATTGATAAAGTCTTTCCGCTTTGCGACTATTCCGTATATGTAGGACCGTTGCAGATGCACTTCGAAGCTATTCCAGTGAAAAAAATTGAGGCGGAATTTGTAAATATATTGACTATTTCTCAACATCACTTTAAGACCCTTAAAAACTTGACTTCAAGTATGATTTTCACTTCAGAGCTTATAGGAGCTACACGTCAACAAGTATTTGGTAAACGGCAATCTTACGAGACCCACTTTATGATTTTAATGTCAAAAAGTCAGAAGGATTTATTTATTATTTAATATTCTTGATTATTTTTCTCACTCCGATTTCAGCCAATCAGAGCGCAGTATTTGAGGCTGTCAAACAGTTTTATTTCGGAAATTTCTGAAAAATTTCCGACGGAAATTCACTAGTAGCTTTTCAAATGTTTCTCATCTTTCAATGCATTTCACGTTTAATATTCTGTGTGACAGATAAACAAAATAGTATATTATGTCATCAGGCGATAAAAGTATTATCTGGCGAATGTGATTACAATCCTTGCCTTCGGCTCGGATTATAATGCCACCTTCGCCAGATAATGCTTTTGTCGCCGTGTGACATACGATATTTTATGTCGTTGGGCCCGAAAACCGCGATCTAACCGAGCGAAGCGAGGTTAGAGTCGCGGTTTTTTCGGGCCTAATCACATAAAAGTGAGTTGCAAATGTATGGCTGTGTAAATGTATCCGGATGCTGTTCACTGCACTCTGCTTGGTCGAAATCCGAGTGTAAAAATAATCCGTCAAATACCAAAAATCCTTAAACCTGCAAAATTTGACACAATCGTTCCTAGGCAACGAAACTATCGGAAAATATCCGATAATTTTGAAGCACTAGTGGTATTACTACTGAATATTTTATGATTGTACGTTGCTTGGATGGACTTGAAATTCCTACCCCAGGGCAGTTTGCTAATTAACGGAAAATTGTGTGTACTGATTAAGTTCATAATTTGAAAGATCCAGAAAGTTTCACCGGGGCATGGTGTCGACATTTTGTTGATAGACAATGTCAGCTTAAAGTCTTGATCGAGTCAATTATAGTTCATCTCACGCAAGAGATTACACAACTTGCACACAATTGAAAATGTTTATCTGTCTGAGGTGATGATGAGGCTTCCGAGTCTCTGGAAATTCAGTCATAATTTCTGGAATTTGCCAAGAGAGAGGCAAAATGCACAATATTTATGAAGTACTATTTCCATAATGCAGTATTCAATTAGATGGATTCAATGAAGATTATTACATTGTTAGGGTTCTCTAGGTTCTGTGCACGGCTCCCTCGGGACCGGATCTTATTAGCTCTGGAACTGACATTATGAAGATGTCGAGGGGAATGCGGAGACATTCACATACGAGATGTTGATATAGAAGAGATGAGCGTGAAATATTCTGCGTCACAGGGAGAAGGAGTCATTTCGGCGTAAATTTCTCGGGAAGTGAGTAAAACAGGAGAATTTGCATTTTCTCGTACTTGCTGGGCATTGTCAGAGAAAGGTACTGTCAAGCTATAGTTTGTCCTATGTGCAGAACGTGAATGAGAGAGCATCAGAGATGGATAAATCTCTCGCAAATCACAGCCTTTTGACGGCTATGTGGTTTATAATTCCTGTGGAGTTGCTGTCAGTGAATTCGGAAGGTATATTTGGATGATGAGAGAATGCTAGGATAAAATTTTCCATGCAGATAATTAATTTTATGGAATTAAATGAATTTTATGCAATAGCATGGGATTTTAGCACTGAAATAGAGTTGGAATTATACTCTGATAATACCGCAGGATGATGAGTTCCCTCTTTTTTTCAACGGACTAATTAAACTTTGGGGTCCCGTCGCAATGCATTCAATCAAATAATGAAATTCAATCTTGCTCCATTTAATTTATCATTTTTCCGGCCATTTTATTTGTCTAAAAAAGAAAAGTTTGTGTGATATTTTCTTGTTCCGTGTAACGAATACCTGAATTCAGAGAATACACATCACGTCAAATTGAAAAAGTTTCGCTGATTCCAAGCGCGCCCCCCCCATTCAAGAGCGATTTCTAAAGTTGAATAACAAAAACAAAAAAAAAGGAGGATTTACGGGCCCTTTTTTTGCACATTTTGTAAAATAAATCTGGTCGAGGGGGGCAACTGCAGTTTCCGGAGTCACGAAGCGTTCGAGGCTATTTCCGTTGGAGTTGGAAAATGCGTCCCCCGAGATATCGAATAACGAAGTCGAGTTGTTGACAGCAGTACAAAAACGTGATCGCAGTGCAGATTTACCGTTTGTTTATATAGGTAGAAATTTTGTTCTCCGCGTTGGTCCCACACCAACATTATCCTTGTATTTTCTACTCTCGCAGTACGTGACACAGTACTCAAATTTACGACCGTATGGAAGATCATGATAAACTTACCGTGGAGTATGTAGAGAACATTTTCATTCTTCTTTACAACGTCATTAATGTCAGTGGGCCACTAGTTTCCCGGCATTTTATGGTACTTTTCATCTTGTTTTCGATCAAGATATACTCTAAAATATGCTTCTCAAGAGTGAGAAGCACAAAAATTGTGATTTAAATATATAATATTCTTTATTTTTCAAAAAAAAAAATCAACCAAAAAATAATTTTCCTTTGATGATTTATTAATTCTATAAATGATATGTGTCTTGGCAAAAAAAGATGATACGATACTGATAAACCCCGACGATGACGACTCGTCAGTAGACGGAGCGCAACTGGAGTTGACTGCCGACCATGCTTTTGTAAACTGATCTGCGCGCATGGTCGTCAACATGCGGAGCGTATGAATGTTGAGGCACCCCTTGGTGTACCCATGATCGTATATATACCATGACTCTAGAATGAAAAAGCCAAATGATGATGATGATGATGAAAAAAAAGGATAGGAACGAAAGGAAGAGAAAATGAGAGGATCTCTGAGATATGCGAATACTCATCTGGGATAAGTCTGTGGAGAGATAACACTCATGTACAAATTACCAGTTGGGCTGGAGTGTGCTGGCAAAAAAAAAGTGCTGAAAAACTACTAAATATGTGACTGGCAAGTTTTCTCATTTCCGTTGGCATCCTTTAGATATTTGAATAACCGAATTACGAGAAAGTTTTCCCCTCAATTTGAAGATTATATTTCATCGCACGAGTCAAATTGCTGGATAATTAAAAGACGTAATGCTCTGTAATACAATCTACATGTTACGGAAGTTTAACATTGAGTTTACTCAATGGGATGAAATTAGTAGTGAAGTGGTAAAACGGTACATACAAGTCAATTTTGACTATTGACCAGTTTTCAATGAATATCTCGGAATCTAAGGGAGATAGGAAAACTTTTGTTATAACCTTTTTTGTAGAGCCGATTGAGAGCTACAACAATTGTAATTACGAAAATTTCGCTATCTCCCTTAGATTCGGAAGTATTCCTCAAAAACTGGGAGATAAGTCGACTTGAACCGTTTTATCACTTCGCTACTGAAATGTTCTCTGTCGGTAATTCCATTGTGGTAATCTAGTGGATAATAGAGTGTACTGTACCGCAAATGACCTCAAATTAGATAATTTATAGCGATATTCGAACTAGTGTATCATTGACAGGTTCAATTAACCTTGGATTCATCATCAGATGCATAATTTAGTTGAGGAATGTTGGCTCGTTTATTTTCATGAAATTACAATATACCGCTGATGATAACTAAAAAATAATAATACATCATTTCTCATTCTCATCATCTATGAAAGGGTATTCCATAATCCTCAAAGTGACATGAAATAATTATTATCCCCCTCGTGATAATAATCCACTCAGCAGCGTCGAGCGAAAAATAATATACGACAAAGAAAATATTAACTCTAGTGTTCAGCTTCCAGTTATTACAACGTATATACCTTGCGATTCAAACGGATCAGAGCAGTTTAAGCACTGTTACCTATGTAAACAGGGAATGTCCCTGGAATTTTGCGCATCGTAAAATTCCTCATCCGCCATCTCAAATTACAATTGTTATCTCCTGCAAACGGGAGGAATAATCCTCGTATTTTTATCTCACTATCAACTCCATAATACCCAAACATACAAAAAAAAAGGCTTGCATCGTTTGTCTATTGGAGTTGGAGTCCAATAACAATGCCTCTCACAATTTCCATTGAATGTTTTCCCTCGATAAAGTGAAATCGGTTTATTGTAATTCTCTTGGAAATAATTTTCCTTTTCACCACCTAACAATGTCCCTCGCCGATTGTCAAGCATATATTTTTTTATTCCATTTTATTTTGGATATACCTCGGGGAGTTTACTCGAAATAGCGCGAAAGTAAAACGAGGAAAGGCTCTTTTCCGTATTTACTATGAAATTAATTTTCTCATTGTTTTTTCTCCGCCGTGCTTCCATCTCTTTCAGAATTGACGTTTATTAGATAGGGGATTTATTTTTTTTCTTTCAGTAGATCTTGATGTCCACTGGTAGGAGATCCGGATGCCTTGTATAGGCATACGTGCTTTCCTTACATTGCCATTAGTAGGTCTCATATTGCACATGAATCAGCTGGCCTTCTCGCCACCCCCTTCCCCAGTTCCATTCATTCTCTGTCGTATACACTATACGTTAATAGTACTTGGTGCTACCATGAAATATGAAAGCTTTTTTATTGCCAACCATTGCGGAAGCTCATGAAAAATTCTTAGCCATGACATTAATCCGGATTATTGCTTCCACCATGTTGCAGAATAATGTTCATTTTTTTTCCACCTATAAAGAATTCATGGGGTTAATAATTCAGTTTGTAACACATTGAATTTTTCATTTCGAATAATCACTTTTTATTTTTAATCCTTATCGATATTAAATAACGTAATTTTTACGGAGGGGTATATATTTTACATGGAAAATTCAGTAATTCCAATCATTCTCATTGTTTTTTTTTTCATCGTATTCATACCAAAAAATTGGACCATTCCGAGCTGAGCTCCCCCTAATGATAAATTAAATTAAACACAAGACAAATGAATGTGAAATAAAGATGTGATGTACGGGAGCAACAACAAACTTAAATCTGTGAAAATCGACGTCATCCAATTAATGTTAAATATCTGGTTGCCTTTGTCAAATTTTAATCCTCTTCGTCATTTATTTATTCTTCATTTCTTGTGGTACGCCATACGTCAGACTATACATATAGTAACGATAATAACTGGCACACAATTGCGTGTGTCTGAGATCCAAAGTTTAGAGAATCGTACAATGACTGGAAAATGGTTGTCATTTCGTAATTCGTGGAAATTGTTATGCCATTAAAATTTTCATATTTCTATGATTTACTCATTGTCATAATCATGACAAAAGATTCTAATTTTTTGCGAGTTTACAGTTGGATAGGGAAGCACACACGCACGCATACCATTCCTCCAAGAATGTGGATGGAAAATAGCAACTTATGGAGGCTCTTTATTTTTCCCCCATTGATTAATATTTTCCGCTTTATCCAATCATTCTCCATTCAGTCAGCCAAAAACACTCGGTGTACTCGCGTAATACGTTAAATAGGCCCTTGTCCTCCTATCTAAAAATTTGAAAGTCTAACTAAAAAAGCAACATTTTTTATTTCTCAAATGCAATTTCCTTCTCTTCTACGTCTCTTAATTCATAATTTAGCCAATGGATAATTCATCGATCGCTCTCATTTTGGAAATTAACTATAATTATTGATTAATCATAAAACAATCCATTTTGTTTTTTCATCATTGCACTCAATTTCCATAAATTTCATTTGACGAACGATAGTATCTAATGCTCAACTAGCGTCTGGGGTGCAGGCACTGTTCTTTCACAGAATAATAGTTTTGTTTCATGTTTCTTCTCTCTAAATGTTGATCATTCGTTCGTGATTCACTGACCAATGATGATTAGAATTGATTGAACAATATTTCAATTTATATTCTTCACAATTTGTATCAGGGCTCGTCAATATTTGGAGTAAAGATTTATCTATTATATACGACATACAGTGGTGTCATTCACTATTTATTTGTTTTTGACTGTGCAAATCGTCAACGATTGCAATATATCGTAATATCGTTATACCACTATTGATTTTAGATGAATACGTTTATGTTTATGGGATTATTGGTATATACGCACATACCGAGCGTCATTCCTGGCAGATTCAAGCAACTGAGGGATAAGTCAAATGGCAAATGTAGGTATACTATCGTACCTGCCGACAGTATTTATATCTAGATATCATTTTCTTTTTCTCTCATTTTTTAATATCTTCCAGTTATAAACAGGTAATTTATAATGATTAAACTCGTTATTATTTTATGCGGTTATAAGCATAAGAATGCGGAGAATTTTCACAGAGATTGAAAATATGAAAATTATATAATTTGGTGTATGGGTTTCACCGCAAGGAAGATATTTCAATGTTTCATGAGTAAAGTAAATATTAATGGTGTTTTGCATGTAGAAAAAATTTATCCACACGAATTCTCTCACTTTTGTTGAAAATTTCTTGAGTTCTTAAAGAGACATCGAATATTCATTATCATTATTGAAATTCGAAGTCAAGATATTGGCAAAGATTACAGATGATTAACAATGAGATTATAATGTCTTTTTAATATAAATAGAGGGAATCCACTAGGGCAAGACTAGACTTAGGCAGAACGAGATTTATTAAAATTCTTCCAACATTGGGGATCCCTCTCTAACTTGTTTAACTCCAGATATCACGCATTCTTCAACACACAGTTGAATACTCGCCATCAGTATTCGATCAATGACAGATGAGAGAATAAAATATATATATTTTGTTGTCATTCATCATATATAATAATCAGCAATAACTACATCGGCTCTGACAAAACTTACAATGCAAGGAAATTGGCAATCAATATATTGATTCATTTTCAATAATAAGGTATCATTTTCTTCAACATTTCTGTTTCCCTAAACTTTGTTTGATGGATGGAAGTCGCCGGATGAATTAATGAATTGCGTAGATATGCACTTGATATCCTAAATCAATCAAAAGTATATTTTTCTAATTAATCTTCGTTATCGTAGTATCATCCTCTAGAATCAATAAACATTTGCCCTCGGTCATTTATATATCTTTTGTATAGCATTTTTCATTTTCTTTTTTCCTGACGTGCGTTTTATGTACGTGCGTGCGTGCTGCGTGCGCTAGGTACATGCCTGCCTTCTCTCTTACTTAATATTTCAATCATTTTTCATTCTCATTCATCTCCACAAAATTTCGCACTCTCATTCGTGTACAGCCCTCATAACTGAGTGCACTCAATCATCCCAGGATGGAAAATTATCCTGGGCAACAAAGAGTGGATTTGTTTTGGTATTTGTTGTATGCGTTTGGACTGTTGTACTTCCGTGGACTGATCCAACACTATCGAAATTGGTGTTGCCAAATACAGGCTGGCCAAATGCATCCAACTGCTGACCCTCGTAGATACTACGATCCTGATTGGCATAATGGTGGGATGGTGAGGCACCTGCTGCATGCTCGGTAATTTTTAACTCTATATTACCGGCATTACTGGAATCTACTGGACCATCTTCGGATTCACTCTCCAGACTGCTATTCTTTATACCATAGTAGAAATACATTATGAAACCTGTAATTCAAATGGATATTTAGAAAATTTACAGTGAGTCAATGATGCTTTCAAAGTTTCTACAAATGATGATTGAATTCTTACCAAGTATCATCCATATTGTGAATCTGACCAGTGTCAATATGCTCAAATTAAATATGAGATAAACGTTAACAGTAACTGCTATCGCGGGCACGAAGGGAAGTCCCGGCGTCATAAACATAATGGTATTTCTGAAAAAGTATTGAGAAATTATATTCATCATAATCACCAATCATCAGAAGAAATGCTCTCATTACCTATTTTGCGGTTTTCTGCTTATGGCAAGAAGAACTCCAATAATAGCGAATAAAAATAAAAACATGACAATGGTCATGAATGTTCCCATGCCGCCCATGCCACAAACGATGATGAAATCGAAGATTAGAATGAGCAGATACAATATTCCCACCATCTTCATGACATAACGACCAGACGCCTCGGTCGCTGGTCCTCTGTCTACCCAAGGAAAAATTGCAGGACAGAGATACTGCGCTGCCTGAAATGTCATTTTCAATTATTTTCAATCGACTCCAACAAGAATATTGAATTGGCTAGTTTTTTTTTTTTTCATACCTGAAGTCGTCGCTGAAGATAATTGAGTGGTGGACCGATAATTGGCGTCGTACCAGGATACTGATGGGCACTACCGCACGTTGATGAGGCTGCTGCTGCGTGAACACTCCCATAAAATTTATTCTCCGTTCTATCACTGACTAAATACTGATCGTCTTTTCCTAAGCCCACATCGTCCTCTTCACCACCGTAAGTGTCATCCGAGTCGGGTGATGAACTGTTGGCTCGTCTCACACGTCGTACCTGATTATTACAATCGGAGAAAAAAAATCCAGAAAATCCATTCCGAGGAAACGTAACTACTGGGCATTCTTAATCCAAGATTGTGATGAAAATAGGCTCAAATTACATAATTCTCCAACTTTTTTTGCCCCGCATAACCACTTTGAGAAAACTTGGAGCCTCTTTTATTTAATTAAGAGAATAAAACTGCAACGGTATGATAAAACTGCAACGGTATGATTAAACTTTATCAAACTCAACAACATTTATTTACTCTCGAGAAACTTGGAGAAAAGTCTCGAGGTGATGAGCTAATCTCACTTCAAACGTTAAAATTTAATTCATTGACCTCAGGTACGAGAAAAGAAGAAGAGGAAATACTTGGTTTTAAAATTTATTGAATTAAACTTTTCATCAAGTCTTGGAGCCTTTGATCTTGATAGGAAGAAATAAAAATATCTTACGGTAACACGCTGTCCATTACTGTTAGTGGTTATTTCAGTTTGTGTCGTTTGAACAGTGTTAAGGGCAATAGTAAGCTGATCTGGTCTCAATTCTTTGCCATAAGGAGCTTGACCATTGCCTTGAGTCTCTTTAGTCGGTGACCTGCATGGTGTACGTAGACTCTGGGGCAGAAGTTCAATGAGATTGGTCGAGTGGGGTTGATAACGTAGAATTAAAACACACGTTGATACGAGGGTGTAGGCCAGCAGAGTACCTGAATTATTAATCGGAAAAGAATATTGTTTATGTTCCCCGAAATAGACGGCACAGTCGGAAATATTGAACTATTCTTATGTAACTGGTGATGCTAGAAATATCTCACCAATAGACATCATTTCCACTAGGACTTCCAATTTAATGAGAAGTGCCGCCAACGCAGCAGCTAATCCGGATGTGAGAGTAGCCAGTGCTGGTGTTCCAGTGGTTGGCCAAATTTGGCTGAACATGCTAAAAATAAATTGCACAAAGTTTGAGTGTACGAGGTGGTTGAGCAACATTAGCTAATCCGGAAATGGCTGTTAAACATTCGTGATGTTGAATATTTATACAATAGCACAGCATCATACAATATATTGGTTTGGCAATTTTACTGCAGTTGATGGTTGTTTAGGAGATTAGTTGTAAAATTTAATGATGATGATGAGTAATTACCGAAATATGAGGCCATCCTGTGCCATTGCGTAAACTATCCTAGGCATGGGAAACATGCTGCCAAACATTGATACTGACAATCCAGCTAGTGCCCCCACTGCCACGATGTATTTACATTTGTAGGCTCCTACCTGACCAAACATCTCTACGAGGGCTGAGTCTTGGTCAACTTCATCATAAGGAACTGAAAATATTATTGGTCATTATTATTATTCAGTTATTAAATGATTTCATCGCATCGTTTAATAATTTAAACTCACCAATTAGCGTCAACATCATGCTGCTTGACACATAGGCAATGAGAATAATAGCAAGAGAAGAGATAATTGCTAGTGGAATACTCTTCTTTGGATTTGTCGCTTCTTCACCGGTCGTTGCTATTATGTCAAATCCAATGAATGCATAGAAACAAGTTGCTGCACCCGTAAACACCTGTATTATCAATAGATAATCGTTAGTGGAAAAAATGAGAATGACATCAAGGGGGACATATGAGCGGCAACATTTTAGTTTTCGATGAATTCTAGGTTTCAACACTCTATGTTAATTATTACAAAACGGTGAAATCTTCTTTTGTGATTTTGAATGGATTTTCTTTGGACACGTTTTCTTTGGATTATTCAATCACTGGGATCTTGATTACCTAAATTCTAGATTGTGAATGGACCAGGGGAGGTGCGCATTGGTCAATAGCAATTCTCACTTTTCCATAATTCAAAAACAATAGTAATAATAATGGATTGCATTCTCGGATTGTCATAATTATTTGAAAATTCTCTTCACAAATCGATATTTCGTGTCCGCTTCAGGATTATCATGAGCGTTCTCTTCTCCCTCCTACAGAGTTCAACGACAGTTTCCACGTACAAGACGCATGCTCTCTAATCGTAGTATTGCAAGGGATATTTCAAGCATCAGAGAGTACAAAGAAGAAGACAAGAGGTGGGAAGAAAAAAAAATAAATAAAAAATGCCAGGCCATTGAAAGGTCAAGCTGCACCAGTTTCGAGAGACCAGGTAGAGGAACTTATGAGGCTACTTCTCTCCAAGCTGATGGCCCTTGAGAATTGCACGCCCTCAATCTGGTTTCTCTTTGAATAGGTTACCCTCAACAATCCACATTTTTTCCCTTCTTGCTAATGTTTGATTCGAACACTATCACCTCAATTTCTATTGTACAAGTGTCTGCTACATCTTGGCTGACTCATGATAGAGTTTTCCATCCCCGAAATAACTTCATGTGAAAAGCTCTTGCGAGCTAAATTTTCTCAACAAGATTTTGGTATAAATTGGCAGTTTTGCTTTCAAGTTTTATTCTTTACGTAATGCATTCCAACTAAATGTCACCCTCTTCTACCGACCCTCTATACACGAAATTATTGATCGAATAATATAGCACCAGAATTTTCATTGGATGCTACTTTAGCGGCTTATAGGATCACAAAACCGGGAACAAGAAAACTTGGTGTTTTATCTTTATTATTATTCCAAGTTTTTCCATAGTCGTTATCCTCCTCTGTCTTTCCTTATCTACCAAAAGTTTAATGAGTTTTTATCTATCACTAAGAAAGAAAAAATACATTGAAAATTTTTCATTTCCAATTGCATCAATACATCATCGAGTAATTGCAGGAGAATAAAAACTATCGAGTGATAGTAGGTGTAATCTATCACTGAAAAAGTGAGTTTTTCGTAACCCTAGCTGCTGGACCATGGAGATAAGAAGAAATCCATTTGTTTGATGATGGAGCGTGATAATACTAGAGAGCCTGAGTGGACATGTCTGAAAAATAGGGGGAAATAAATTTTTCATTTTCATGGGAGCACAAAATAGAGATGAGAATATTCCACTAAATGATCGAATGATGATCTCACCCTCGCCTTCAGAAACATTGCCCATCCTTTACCAGAAACAATTAATTCAGCAAAAAATTCACTTCGGAAAATCTTTTCCAGGAACTAGTGGAAACAATCAATCATCATCACCCAGAAAGATCTCATTCATCACACTACATAAGATAACAGTTTCGTCGAAAGCCAAAGATTTCGGTTTTCCCTCTTATCCAAAGATTCCCTCGACGTAAAAAAAAACTCCAATTTTTTCTTCTTCCGATCTTTCCAAAAGTCACTCTCATTTAATCGTCACATTCCCCCTGCTCTCACAATCGTTCTCGGCAAACTCTCATCTAATCCACCCCATCCCCACTTTTATTTTCCTCCACAGTCATTCCCCTAAGCCACATTTGAGTCTACTCGTGAATACACGTATACCACAAAAGCCGAGGGCTCATTGCGTATGTTCCTCACATCTGTGTGATGCAACAAGTTTGCCATTGTTTCAACAAGCCACAAAATCTTCTAGTCATTGGGTGAATAATGTTCTTGAGTGATATAGTCAAGATCATTAAGATTAGACAAAAGGAGAAAATGATCTTCAAGTGATTCCCGGAACTAAATATTCAACTGTAAAAATTCTGTTGAATTCAATTTATTTTTTCTTTGTTTGCATTCTTTTCACGACATCCTACGCTAGTCGATCAATTTACCAAGCCAAGTTTTTCATTATTGCTGTATTTCAGGTTTTTTATTCCCCCTGAGAGAACTCGGACGGTTCTATATGCTTCTTGCACTCTAAAATTTCTCCCCAGGGATAACACAAACCTGAGATGAGCTTACGTTACGTGACGATCATGTGGAGTGAAATGACAACATAAAAAACTCACCCCGCTCCAACCGAAGGGTAGAAATCCCTTGTGCTCTGACCAATTGGTTGAGTCGACGTAGAATAACCCGGCAGTCATAATAAATACCCACACTGATAAGTTTATGGCGTTTAGGACATTGTTGAAGATGAGTGATTTCTTCACACCCGCTGCCATTAGCAACATCATGAGGAGGGTTATTACGAAAGCGAGGAAATCCGGTGGTCGACCTGGAACAATAAATTATTACTACTTCAACCATTCAACATCTTCGAATGGTTCAATAATTCAGTAGTAAGAGTAAGTTTTGGTCAGGCAGATCATCATATTTTTTACATGTCCATCCAATGGATCTTTTTCAGTTCTCTATTTCTAAGAAACACACTGATAGAACGGATTGGTTATTGTTAACGAATGGATTTTGGTTGGAGGTTCGGGTCTATTCGGTCTCACCAAATGTTCATTCGTTAATAGTTAACGAATGTATATTTGAGGCGCCTTGTTTGACTTGACTTTCGCCATTCAAGTGAACCATTCGTTAACTATTAACGAATATTCATTTGGTCATATTCAACTCTACCATTCGTTAATAGTTAACGAATCTCGTTTGGAATAAATGAATCATTCCATCAGTGCGGAAGATATAGCATTAATCTTAAACATTTGTGAAGAAGAGGTCATCAATCGGTTCATTGAGTCGAAAAGGTCCACTCACACGCTTTCCCATCTATCACTTCCAATTTGTTTGTTCCTCTGATAAATCATTCTCTGCTCCATACGTCAAAGATACAGAAATGAATTGACTCTATTCCAAATTTTCGAAAAAGAAAAAACTCAAATGAATCTATGAAAACGTTTCCAGTAGAATAACATTTAATGTGATCAGGCAAATGTGAAAACGAAAGGTAACATAACTAGATCAAATCCCTCTAATTGCTTTTCAACGAAACATCAACCCGTTGCGTAGGAGGAGGCCCTCCTCGACAATACGAAAACACGTTAAAAACCTCAAATTAAATTACCTAAATCCATTCGCGCCCACTGACATCCTCCACTTTATCAGACAATTCCCACTACCTTCTAATAACCTCCATTCTCCCTCAGCTGTCGATTTCACCATTGTTATCCTCCCTAGGGATAACCCTTTCTCATCCCTAAATAATTCCACACCACTGCTCCCCATCCAAGCTTCATCCCCTCCAAATCATTGATTAACCCCCAACCCTCAATGTAATTTAAGCCCCAAGCGTCATTAAGTTTTACTGTGCGAAAAAATCCACAGCCTCAGCAATTCTTATCATCCTCGTCCTTCTCTCCTCTTCATTCTCGGCCAAAGGTACACGATCCCTTCGGTATCAGGTGCTTCATTAAAAACTAAATAGAGAAACACGTCCAGCGTGTTTGAGGCATTTCCAACGATCTCAGAAATGAGAAAAAAAACAAAAACGTGGAAATACTCGTTAGAATGTGTGTAGGCTTTTGACTAGGCGATGGAGAGAATCGTGGCGGCGCTTCCCTCGTAACAGATCGGATCGATGGGGTCCACAGGTGCCGGAGTTGAACCTCGGGAGTAGTTTATTTGCGCATGCGCCCGCTCCTTTTTCAACCTCACATCTCCACATTATTTTCATTCTATTCACCCTTTTTTATTCTTCTTTGCTCCTTGCTTCGGACCACAGCTGAACTTGTATCAGTTATCAGATGTGGGATTGGATGGAGTTGGGCTGCCAGATATCCTTAGAAAATTTAACACGGGAATGGGAGACATCCGAGGAATGATACCGCATACTTGTGATAAAAAATACATAAAGGGGAGCTGTGACAACTTTTCGACTGTCGTTCCAATCACACATGACTTCCTGTTTATTTCCAGCAGGTTAGACACCCCACGAGCCTCACACACCCACCGTGACCTGACTTTAACCAAACATGCCCCTGTCCACTTTAATTTATGGTAGCGGGCTTCCACCTTGTGAAAATCGATTTAACGAAAATTCTTGGAATATGTCGCAGAACAGAGAGTTATAAATAAAGTTTGTACACGAACTTTTTCGAGTAATAATAGAAGAGTGAAATTTGGGGGATTTGGTGTTCTCATCAAAGGTGGTGTAAATAAGCTTGAAAAATTAATGATAGGTTCCCGGAATTAATTTCCTTAACAAAAATTTCATGGAAAAAATTGCGCCCGAATAAAATTTCCCGCAAAATAGCTCAAATACTAATCAATCAAAGATTTATTTTTCAATTCATCATCAGCTGTCAATTTACAACAACACAAAATTAGCTACATCCTTCAAGAATTTATCACATTCATCAGCATCATAATTATCAACAATTCTTTTCAAACGCTCATGCTAATCGCGATATTTCTTCTAACAAATAACAAAAATTACCCCGGAAAAAATTTCCCCGAATAAAATTCCCCCACAAAATACCTCAAATACTAATCAATCAAGGAAAAATTTATGAAAAGAAATTTTAAATTTTTGTTCGGGGAAATCTTTGTTGGGCTAAACATTTTCCGAGGAAATTTTTGTTCGGAAAAAATTTTCTCGGGGAAATGTTGACGGGGAAGTTTTTTCCGAGTAATTTTTTTCAGGGAAATTTTGACGGGGAAGTTTTTTCCGAGTAATTTTTTTCGGGGGAAAAAAACTCCAGTCACCTTAATGATAAGATAATTGCTAAGATCGATCAACATAAAGATTCTATAAACTATTCACCTCATTGTGATTGGTAGGTAGTTCTTTAAACTGAATATGTCGCAGAACAGAGAGTTATAAATAACGTTTGTACACGAACTTTTCCGAGTAATAATAGAAGAGTAAGATTTGGGGGATTTGGTGTTTTCATCAAAGGTGGTGCAAACAAGCTTGAAAAATTAATGATAAGCCAATTGCTAAAATCGATCAACATACAGATTCTATAAACTATTCACCTCATTGTGATTGGTAGGTAGTTCTCTAAACTGTTGAGGATTGAAAATTGCCATGTTGAAAGGTTATGAATACAAATACTGTGTGCAGCGACGAATGACATAGTCGAGACTTGACTAGGAATAGGTGTAAGTAGATGTGTATGTAATGTAGGGTAAAAGTTAAACGAGGTGAACAATTCGCGAACTACCACCCCTTCGGTAACTTATACCCTTATAATATAGAGTGTGTTCTTAAGTCGACAGTTGGGAAAGTCGTGAGCGATTCGGATTACTTTTAGATTAAATTCCAAATTGAGTTTACTCGTGAATGTACACATTGTAGAGTGATAATAATAATTATTGTAATATTGTCATCTTCATATTCATAAAAAGTCGAGTAAATAGAATAAGCTGAAAATTTCTGGAAAATTGAAGGAAATTTCTGAAGTTTTCTATATCTCGCGATTCAGTGACATAAAATTGTCGATGGCGTATGGAATCGAAAGCTTCCCTCCCCATCGATTGAGCCAGCAGAATGCTTCCTCCCCCCTCGTTTTTCCGATATTCACAAGATAACCCAAGGAAAATTCATTGTCAATATTGCCTCGCTCCCTTCGATTGCTTTGAAAAAAGCTCGATAATTGCTTCAATGACAAAGCGCTCAGTCGCACAATATTCATTATATACGCACTCTGAAAGTGTCTCGATGACTCAACCCTTTTTCATTTTTTTAAATATAATAACCCGTATTTTTTCATGAATGAAGCTCCTCGCCAAATTGTCCAGTATAGGTCTTCAAAAATTGAAAAATCAACTTCATCAGTTCCTCAAGTTTTCCACCAATTTTATAATCATCGAGTGGAAATAAACTTGTTCACGGTGTTTCCAATCGGAAATTTCTCCGACTTTCCAATGTCGTGAGAAAAATCAACACTCAATGTTGTTTTATTCTACAAAACTGCAGAGAATAGCGATAATGAAGCCATAGTGCCAACCCGGTGCATCACAATCATCCCTTAATCATGGGATTTGTCAATAATCTCATTCTCTCTCAAGAACTATTCGATGCAGAATTACGATAACATCGTTAGAAAATTCTCCCTCTCTCCTCTCCTCTCCTAGTTGGTATGTTCTCTGAAAACCGTAAACGCTCGACAATGGGCGACGTTGGTAGCGATCGATACACCCAGCCGAATCACTATCATGGAAAAGTTGTTTCTTTTTCTTCCCCCCCCCCCCCCCGTCCAACAACACTTCTCTCTCATCTAGCGACTCCGTTTACCAAAGCGGTTAAAATGTATAAGATACAAAGAAAAAACACTAAAACACGCACTGATAGGATGATTCATTTATTCCAAACGATATTCGTTAACTATTAACGAATGGTAGAGTTGAATATGACCAAATGAATATTCGTTAATAGTTAACGAATGGTTCACTTGAATGGCGAAAGTCAAGTCAAACAAGGCTCCTCAAATATACATTCGTTAACTATTAACGAATGAACATTTGGTGAGACCGAATAGACCCTAACCTCCAACCAAAATCCATTCGTTAACAATAACTAATCCGTTCTATCAGTGCGGGGGGCCTCGACTAATCCCTCTTATATGCTGCAAAAAGAAAAATGTGAAGAGAATTGAGGAGGTATTCGTTGAAAAATTTTTACTCACACTCTTTGAAAACTCCTTCAGTGCTTTCATTGCTACGGAAGATACCGATTCTTTCAAGTGCCAGAAAGTCGACAGGATTATGATCATTTCATTAAAAAAATTGGAATGTAAAATTTTTAGAAGGAAAACATTTGCATGAAGGTTGCGTCATTAGAAGACCAGGAAAATTCTCATGGAGAAAAACAAGAGGCCTGTTCCATTGCGCCCCGATGATTACAGAGATGTGAGGGAAATGAATTTGAAATAATTATTTGCATTTTTTTTTCTGGGAGAGAAATATTGACATGAAGTATGGAGTGCAACAGTTATTGCTAAATGTCTGCAACTGATAATATCATAATCCTATTATTGTGGTATCCCTGACTCACCAAAAAATGTTCCAACGCTGTTGCTTATCGCACCGGAAACCGCCCCATTCGCAAGGGCGTCCAGACAAGCGCTAAGGGCGCAGGCACACGCACTGGTACCGATGAGGTACTCAAGCACCATGTTCCATCCAATTATGAATGCTATTAACTCACCAACAGTCACGTAACTGTACATATACGCACTGCCCGTTGTGTGTGGCACTCTAACACCAAATTCAGCGTAACACGCACCTGAAAATTGAGTTTCATAATTTCATGGAAATTTTTATTACTTTTTAATGCTTATGAAATATAAATTTTCTTTTGCCATTAAAAAGACAAATATCACATCATTGATTTTGATTGAGTCATTACAATCGAGTATACTTGCACTGATAGAACGGATTAGTTATTGTTAACGAATGGATTTTGGTTGGGGGTTAGGGTCTATTCGGGCCCATCAAATGTTCATTCGTTAATAGTTAACGAATGTATATTTGAGGAGCCTTGTTTGACTTGACTTTCGCCATTCAAGTGAACCATTCGTTAACTATTAACGAATAATTATTTGGTCATATTCAACTCTACCATTCGTTAATAGTTAACGAATCTCGTTTGGAATAAATGAATCATTCTGTCAGTGTGACAAGCGATTAGTATAATCGTTTCGTGAATAACTTGTAATTAAAAATCCAATTGGATATTGCTGATGATTAAACTAAACCCCAGTAATCGAAATTCCTTGATCATTGATCATCAATTAATAAAGGAATTGGCGCTATCACGCCAACGCGGATGTTCTCCCCTCGATTCAATTACAAATTTCATGGATATTGCAGTGTATGGGATTATTAATTGTGTAAGAGGACGCATTGCATATTGTCTCTCTGATTGTGTAGTCCTCATCCACCTCACGTGCCAGCATCTAACATGCACAAGCACAACTATCCCATTTACATTTTTCAAGCAGCTCCCCATCGTATTTTTTTTTTTTCGTCTCAGACCTATTGATTTTTCATGTCTCCAGGGAGACACTTCAAGTCACACCTACTACTTGGCAAAATTGACTGATTTTACAATGCGACAAGCACTCAACCTCCTTTCTCGAGATAATGAATTTTTTTCCCCTTTCCATTTCATTTGGCTCTGATTTGAATTTTTATGACATTACCAGAGAAAATTGATGCCATTGCTGCGATAATGAACGAGATGATGACGCCTGGTCCGGCTACACTTCGTGCCACCATTCCAGCGACTAGGTACATGCCTGTACCAACGCATGACCCAACACCTAGTGACGTTAGGTCTAGGGTTGTCAGGCACTTCTGTAATTACAAAACATTGGCAAATTGAACTTAAATTTTGCTATTTAATGGTGTGGAAATTCAAAAAAAGTTTCAGAACATTCCAGGAGCACTGAATCAATATTTTTTCAATGAATATTATTCTTTTTTTTTATGACCTTGCAAGAACCAGAGGAAATCCCATTTATTCGAGGAAAATTTCAGTTTATATTCAGTAAACGAAAAACTTCACATATTACTTTGTGCAATTCAATTTTGGTTCAGTTTTCGTGTAGAAATTTTAAATTATCCTCGAAAATGTAATCACAGAATGTTGGTCAAACAGTGAAGAGCAAAAAAAATCCATACATGCACTCGTGGGATATTGGAAAAGTTTTTGGTGATAACCGCTGAGTAGAACTGTTGCCTACAAGTTTTCATCCGCTATAAGGGTGACCTCACGTGCTGAGGAAAATAAAACAATTGATTGTTTGCTCGACTAGGGAATGGTAATACCTGTAAATAGGAATTTCGTGGGAAAGGGAGGGGAGAATTACAGTTGTGGGGCATGAAAAGGGAATTACACTCGAGAAATAATGCACAGTTTTTTTGTTACTCTGGGTACCATTACTCCACTTTGAATTGTAAATTTTCGTTTTCCCGGAAATTGTGAAAATGCTGAGTAAATAACACTGAATATTTAAAAAAAAATGAATTTAGTGTGGTGTTGGAAAAAGTTGGCACTCAACTGCGAAAGAATTATTCTCAAAAAATTTGTCATCACTGACAAATAATTCAACATTTCGACCGATTAATCATAATAGTACAATCAGAATGTCATTACGTGTGAAACATACATGGAATGGACTGGTCATGATTTTCCTATATGTGTATATGTGTGACAGTTTGGTATGTGAAGTTGAGACATCAATTTCACCGTGATATCGGATTAATTGGAAATGTGTCACGGTAATGACGGAACGCTGGGGATTAATTGCTAGTACTCAGGGTACGGTGGGGACAATTCACATATTCCAGATTCGCTCGAGATATTCCTATCGCGATGACCATCATAATTGGCAATGATGTCCGGTTGAAGAGTGAGGTTGCTTCACATCTTTATGGAATGGAGAGTTGTTGATTTTCATTTGAATTTTTTACCTGTAATTTTTGTTTCGAGTCTGTGGGATGCACTGGCTCAGGTCCATGCCGTGCCTGTTCCCCCTGGAGGTGTTCTATTTTCTTCGTTCTTATGAATTTGCCGAAGAGCTCCAGCCTCTTCTCCCTATTCGGTAGCTCTGGCAGCTTCATTTTTCTGAAAATTTTCAATGAAAAAATATTGAATTTCACTATTATTATCAAATGTCGATAATTTTATTCATCTATTTCTAAATAAATCATTCTCGGGATCTAGGGGGATCATGTACAACACGTGTCAAATGCCGCGAATATTAAATAATAATCGCATTGAAAATTACCATAATCATTCGATGAACGAAAGTTAAATTCGATTCTCATTTTTTTTCTCCCTTTTAGAACAAATTCAAAATAGACGACACAGCGAGGGGCGAAAACCAATAATTTCTTTTGCATGTAAATTTATTCCACCACTTATGGTAAAATTGGTGAGAGCGGCGGGATACACGCGATATCTTCAATTTACAAGTTTTTGTGTTTATTCTCCTGCCTCTCCTGTTTCGTGAAAAAGTGCATGGGCACTTGAACTATACTATTATCAGTCAATTCTGAGTATTCATGATAACGTGATTACTTATACACTTGTTGCCTATACACTTGGACATTTCACCCACACACACACACACACTATTTGTGTTAAAATTTTCATCTACCAATAAATATTTAACTATTTCCATCAATTTCTTATAGAACGGTAAATACTAAAAGCTTTTGTACGTTCAGCCTCTTTTCTTCAATTACTGAGCTCCTTTTCCCCGTTGACCCGACCTTCGCTGAATTATTCTACCTCTGAATAAACGTATAATTTAGTTGAATATTATAATTGAAGAAAGGACCAGAATTAGATTTTCCCTCCGTAATTATTTTATATTATTTTCAGACAAAATTCATGGTCAAAGAGATTCTCTTGATAGACACCTTCTACCCCTAACATCACACATACTCGAATTAAATAATTGCTTGATTATGGAGTTTTCTTTTGGTGAATTGCAATCGACAGGTGGCTTCCGACACGCGACAGATATTACCCACATTTTTTTATACGCCGAAGAATATCCAAATCGATATTAGCAATCTTCGCATCCTAAGGAAATATCAAAAATCAAAAACTCCCCTCTCTCACGCATTTGATCAATTGATTTTTTTGATTGAATCATCATAAGGAAAAATTATCTCTCAGTGGAAATAAAGAAAAGTTGGAATAAATTAATTGCCCCCTGAGTGCATCGAGAACCCATGTATCGTAACATGATCCAGCGGTCAATCATGAGCATCATCAGAAACCCCGGGGTATCACAAAGGTTCTCCAAATATTCTAGGAGTGATTATCTTCATTGAAGTATCGGAGATGATGAAAAATTGCCTGAAGAATGGCACATTGAACTCAACGAAACACAGATCAGGTGGAAGCAATTTGTCTTGTTAATGAGGTTCGCCATTGGATGTATTTAATCAAGTGTATACCAAGGTGTAGACGAAGAAAATCCATTAGTACTCCATTAGGTGTTCATGGAGAAAGGAAACACTACGGGCTATTGTATTTCTGCGTCGATAACAGTAAATAGAAATTAATCGAAGGTATTTCCATATTGTATCTGTGACTGGAGAGTTCTGCGATCATTCAAAGGGATTTTACGATAAATTTCTTGACTTTACAAATGGAAAGAACGTTAAGTACACGGAGAGAAATATTCAATAAAAATTACGTATCTTTTCCGTAATTCCGAAGTGAAATGGGGTTGTAGGAAATTTTACGGAGCTGTCACGGAATTTGTCCGGAGCGTTCTGTAATTTTTACTGAACATTTCTCTCTTTGTAATTCAATAATAGTTGCCAAGATACGTTAATTACGACATTGTATAATTCCTGTGAAACCAAAGTGCCTGATGGCCTTTGAATGATGCGCATGAATATGTGGAGAATGCAGAGAAACGCGGGCGGGAATGCTAGCTCTGAAAAGACCCCCAACGTTTCGGTGGATACCACCCTCGGCGTTTTCACCGCAACAATCCCGAAAATGTAAATGTGTGAGGTATTTCGATATGAAAAGTACGTTTTTCGTGCAATAAAAAAAATTTAATTTACTATATTTCCGTCCAAATTTATAAAATTTTAATTCAACTGTCTTTTCAAAACGAAAATAAATCATTAGCTTTTCAATTGCTCCCTAAACATTACAAAATAACAAGAAAAGAGAAACTGATTAAATTTTCATTTCAATCAGTCTGAGTTGACGTAGAAATTTTAATCAGACGTTATTTCGCTAGTGGTTATTGCAAACTTTTCGTTGAACAGGAAACAGTGGCATAGGAGAACATGAAGAAATCGATATTGCAAGTGTTTCTGTATGTCTGACCTTAACTGAACAATCTACTTATCCCTCTTAGTTCCCCTTACTTCTAGTTTTCCAGCGTCTGAATTGCCGTTTTTCTCCATTCTCAGTGTCTATTTTTCCTCCACGAAGCTCGTAAGTCGGAGCTTGTTAGATTAATACATGACGTATCATTCAGTATATACCCTGGAATACAGTGTGACAGTTTCTGGAGACATGACAATGGCAAAAGTGGATCACACAGGTGCATTGTGTTGTTGGTACGATAGTGGATAGACGAATGCAACCGCATACCAACTGTCTAACTCAAGCCTGAGGGACTTGACTGACCATTCAAATCTGCAATTTTCATATTGTTCATTTCCATTACCAATCGGGTTTTCACAATTTTACCCATTTTTATCCTCACACCTTTGGGAGAAAAATTTATTCTTTCTATCTATAAATAGAGATATAAAATGTGTGGAGGATATATTGGAAATTCAAGACTTATTGTGATTTCAGGGATGTGGAACGTGAGGAGAAACTGGAGCTCTTGATTAATTCATCAGGAAGGGGAAAATCGAACACCTCCAGGGGGATGGATGAGGCACGGCATGAATCTACGTCAGCCTATCCAATGGATATCAAGCAGAAATTACAAGTATTTATTTCAAGTTTTTAGAATGCAATTTTTTATAATAATTCAAAGACCATCTGAATCGACGGCTCTCTCATCAGATGATAAATTTTTTATGTTTTATTTGAAAACGGAACTAGTGACGCTTCATTGGAACTAGAGCAATTTCTCTGGAAATTCTTGTGGAGAATCGAATGCCGTTGCAAATATTTGGTTGCACCACAGGACATACAAGTTGATCTTTGTCAAAAAAACCTTCATTTTTGGAGTTCTTCATATTGAAACTATTTTCTCAATATGTGAGAACGATAGGAGCTCGATAGAAACGTCGAATTATTGATGAAAAATAATGAGAATAAGTCAGATTGCCAGATAAGATTATTTTAAGCTTGAGAACGTGATCGTTCGGAAGAAATGGGTCTTGAAACTCGTTTCAACGACAAGTGATTTTCGATATCACGATGAAAAACGTTAAGCGGCTCTGGCTACCTTTTTATCTTCAACCCCTTTTTCTTTTCTCGTGTCCATATAATAGGCAAGTAGAGCGTGACGGTTCACCGGCGTTGTACAAAACCTCGGGCTCCTCAGGTCGGCAACAGGCGGCTGATTTTTTATTCAACAGAAAAGCCATAGTTCCTCGTATGTTTTATGGAAAAAATATGTATATTTCTATTTTTATTTACATCTGCGTTACTCCTTACGAGAAAAGAACACTGCCTTGTCATCAGTTATTCATTCTAATTCCCGGAGGGGGAATACTGGGATCATGAAAATTTCTGAGCACGTATACACTTGCAGCCCATTTTTTTTCCAAACATCTCTGATGATTTAAAAAATAACCTTCCCTGGAAATTGTCAATTCATCCACGAAAAGTGGCTTAGAACAGAGCCAGTGAATTATCCGTCTCCATGTGCCACAGAAAAACTTTTCCCTCTCGGTTAATCCCCCAGATATTGGAGGTAGAAAGGAGAAAAAAAAAACCAATTCCATGAAATAATGAACGAAAAAAGAAAAAGGAATTTTACTCTAGTTTTTCTGAGAAACTGAAATTTTCCAGGGTTTACAATGTCCCTGATAAAATTCACCTTCTACCACTTTTTCTCAAGATATTCAATATGTTGAGGAGACGCGTGAAAATGGACAAGAGATAAATTAGGTTTTCCCCGGGATATAAACTTGTCGATAGAAAAATTGGATTTCCTTCGGTACAACTTGGAATTGATAGACGAAACAGGTGTCATTGTAGAGGCCGGATAATTGTCCATTCGATTCGCATTAAGTGAATTTTCCCCTGACTATCAGTCCCTTCAATATTCAAACAACAATATCGAAGATGAGTGCTACGTCGTAATCTTGACCCAGTAATAAACATCCCCTTGATTCGCAAAATTTAGCATTCAAACTGTGAATCTCATCAGCTATTCCCCTATAGAAATTCATGGCTATATATTTCCAAATAAATTCCCCCTCGTAAAACAAAACAATAGTGTAGTCACGCTCACGATAAGACGAATGAGATTTATGTGAAAATATCTAGGACTGAAATGAGCCTGGGGGACACTCTCAGCCTAAATATATTTCCCCCTAGCACGAACTTACATTAATAAAAATATGCGACGCTGATCGAATTCACACGAGCCACTGTTGGAGTCTCGCATGAGTATTCCAAAGCATTTCATCCATAAACAAGTGTATTCTATGTGTACAGAGTAGACCTATATACCATCAATCGCACCCAAGAAGATTACTTTACCCCCTACACTCTCACAGACATTCGATCAGTGCAATTTGTTGGCACTACTGAGTTTACCGGAAAACGTACAGGGGATTGTTCGACATTTCCAATTTGCTATGTCAATTTCCCGACTGTGTTCAAGAGAAATAATAGCTTTCCATGCTGTCAATCACAATTTTTTTTTTCAAGCCTTCCTTGCCTTTTGTTTTTTCGTTGTAGCAACACACGTCAAGTGAAACGCGTCATCACTTTGTGAAATTTATATCACAATTAAATGAAAACTTTGAGACATCTTTCTTGCAAAGACAACATTTCCAATAAAAAAAAATCGAAACATTGAAAAACAAAACCCTCTCGTTGAAGTAAACTCATTCTTTCAACTTTGAGAATCATTGCGTTGAATTTCAATTTATTTTGCTTCAATATGAAATAATATTAATCAAGCACATTCATTAACAGTGAGCCAGCAACTATGGTGAGTAATAATCTAAAAATAATTGAACCAAGTCATTAAATTCAACTAATTGATCAACGTACGCTTGTCAACAACGTCCAAACGTTTCTTTCTACATCTCGCTAATCGGCGAGTCAACATTTGTTGTCTGGCAATCGTACGAAACGCAATAGGGTCGATAGTTTGCGTCGTCGAGCCTTCCATAGCATCCAAAGTAAGAGAATAACTATAAACAATAATACCAAAAATGTGTTGATCAAAATTGAAAAAAAATATTTGAATATTGAAAACGATCTTAATATGACGTGCGAGCAGACGGCAATTATGTGAATCAATAACTCTCAAAAATTTGTCATTTTATCATTTACTCACGTGAATCTCTTTATTTCCACCAAAAAATCCAATTATTTACCAAATCACGATTAATTAGCAAAAAGAAATTGTGTGCAAATGTGCATTTAAACAAATCAACACAATTAATGCTCGACATTAATGTTAATAATTACAATGAAATAATTTTTAATAACTTCTAACTCACCTCAAATCCATTTAGACGACTACTCCCCCCTCTTCTTTCAAAAAAAAAAACACTAAAAAATGGTTAAAACACCAAGGGGATAAAGGTGAATATAATTCACCGAATCCTGCACTCCGTCATTTCCAATATCTCCACAATGGAATAATAAAAAAAAGTCGCGACTCTCGAAAAATCTCCAACAATGGTGATAATTCAATAATTACTCCATAAACTGGCACTTGAATACCTAATACCTAATCCCTATGTGATATGTATGAGTATCGATGCACGATGGAGAAATCTCCCCTAGAGTCTTGTAGAACAATGAAACCCCTCTGGCTGACAATGAAAATCACAATAAATCATGGACACTGTCCTCAACGCTTCCGTTCACATTTCACTGTAACTATTAATTGCCAAATAATTAATTTGATCCTCCTTTTCATTGGTTAATTCTTTCGTATCTATATTCTCGTTAAGCGACACGGTGCCGGTCGTGCCGTCTGACCACACACGGGGTTACTCTCTCATCCGCGCGGCGTTTTTCCTCCCCTATCATGGCGTCTACGAAACGCGTTCAACAATTCCCCGTATGAACCTATTCATCCCCCCACTCGACGCAAGTTATTCTAGTTGCGCGCGTCTTTTACAGAACTAAACTGTCGCGCACCCTTCGTACTTATTCACCTTCCTCCCCTTTCATCTCCTTTCTCTCCACCAAATTCCTCTTGCCCCCCCCCCCCTGAATTGACTCTACCAACTTCCGTACATGTTTGTGCAGTTGGTACGCGCGCATGTTAACATTTTCCTATTTGACAAAGATGTTGGTATCTCTGAGGAGATTTTCACGGGAAAGGGGGAGGGGAACACCCCTCTATACGCTTCTCACCTACATATTGACGTGATCCCCCACTCTTTTTACTTTGGCAACCCCTACTCTTTCCATTAAGGGCGGCCAAAGGGTCGCTCTCACTTCACCTCCTACACCCCCACGTCGTTGTGCGTAAACTACACGATTTTTCGTGACGTAATCATCTGCACCGTCTGGCGGTGAATGTCGGGGAGTTATGACTTACCTGCACGAAGATCAATCTATGATGTTTGACTTTTCATTGGGGCCATCAGGAAGTATTAGAGTATAAGTGTAGAAGGTATATCGAGAAATGTCTATTTTCGTTGGGCTTCCTCTTCATTTCCTTAGGATATTATGTATTGATTGGTAACGATTATATTTCACTTCCTTGAGAAATTATATGGGGCTGGTTATTAAATAAAAATAGTGGGTAGTTCAAGTAATGTAATAATTCATTGTTTTTCTCATTCATCATGGTTAAATGTAAGTGGGAGAAACAATTTCTGGAATAATAGTTTTGGGATCAATACTTTTCTTTCGTATAATAGTGATTTAGTGGTTCAGCGTGGCCAAATTGACAAATATTGCCGCTTGCGTGGGTCATCCGAATGTTTGTGCGATCCACCCTGNGCATGTTAACATTCTCCTATTTGACAAAGATGTTGGTATCTCTGAGGAGATTTTCACGGGAAAGGGGGAGGGGGACACCCCTCTATACGCTTCTCACCTACATATTGACGTGATCCCCCACTCTTTTTACTTTGGCAACCCCTACTCTTTCCATTAAGGGCGGCCAAAGGGTCGCTCTCACTTCACCTCCTACACCCCCACGTCGTTGTGCGTAAACTACACGATTTTTCGTGACGTAATCATCTGCACCGTCTGGCGGTGAATGTCGGGGAGTTATGACTTACCTGCACGAAGATCAATCTATGATGTTTGACTTTTCATTGGGGCCATCAGGAAGTATTAGAGTATAAGTGTAGAAGGTATATCGAGAAATGTCTATTTTCGTTGGGCTTCCTCTTCATTTCCTTAGGATATTATGTATTGATTGGTAACGATTATATTTCACTTCCTTGAGAAATTATATGGGGCTGGTTATTAAATAAAAATAGTGGGTAGTTCAAGTAATGTAATAATTCATTGTTTTTCTCATTCATCATGGTTAAATGTAAGTGGGAGAAACAATTTCTGGAATAATAGTTTTGGGATCAATACTTTTCTTTCGTATAATAGTGATTTAGTGGTTCAGCGTGGCCAAATTGACAAATATTGCCGCTTGCGTGGGTCATCCGAATGTTTGTGCGATCCACCCTGGCATTTCCGACTACCCACACGAGGTTCAACATTAGGAATTGAATTAGAAGAATTGGAAATTTTCATTGGGTGTATGGAAAGGTAATTACCATCTTTGAAGCAGTGGGACTTTTTTCATTGCATTGACAACTGCATCTTAAAATCCATCCGATGATTATTCAGAATAATCGACTTCTATTTCATAAAAAATAATAACTTAGAATTAAAAATGGTATTTATCTATCTGAGATAATACAAAAAACGTTGAAATCTTCATTACCAACAATAAGTAATAATCGAAATTTTTAATCTTCAATTATCATTTCACGATCGCAGGCAATTTACCCATTCATGATTAGAGAAAGTGGCAATAGGCCTCAATAAGGACTAATCAACTAATTTATAATAAACTTTATTGACTCATCATTCTCGATTCTCATTGAAGTGTAATCAATAATCGCTACAAATTTATTTATAAAAATTGTTCAACTATCAATGATAAAAAACACGAAAGATTTCCTTAAAAAAAAATCATTTTATTCATCGCCTAATTACATATGACTTGACCCAAAATATCCTACATATTCTAATTATCCAAAATGTCCTAGAAACAATATAGACATTGTCGGGATTTTTTTTTCAAAAGTACATTTAAATGAGATAATGAAAATGCCAGTCCCTCATGATCATTCACAAGAAAAAAGTCAAAATCAAGATTTAAAAAAATCCCCTTGTAATCCCATGTTTGGTAGATGTTTGCCGCTAAATTTAAACATATGTACAAGTGCCGCTCATAAAATTAATATATGTATATCGGCCTCTCCAATCAACCAGCTCTATTTGATTTAAATTTATTTTCAACGAAAAGTTTGTGAATAACTCCTAGAAACATCTTTTCATAAATTAACACTTGTTAAAGGCATTACGAGGACTCGTCTATGTTATACAATGCCATTATTGAGCATCGTTGAGCCTATACTATCTCATTTTCACTGAAAACAGTAAAAAACTATCACTACCTATGTACAATATTCATTTTTCACAATATTTCATCATCATTATTAAGATCACCAATCATTCCCCAATCGTTTTGTGTATTAAAAAACACATATATATATATGTAAATATATATAATGTGGCAAGTAGAACGGGGAAGTCCCTCATGGTGTGCTCAATTCGAGACTGATAATTTTCCTTCATTTTGTTGTGATATAAAACTCGCAGTCTTCATAAGATAAAACTACAGATTTGTAGCAAATTGTTTGATGAAGATAACCTTTAAATGTTAGAGACATTTGTTCAAAGAAGAATAGATTTTGTGACATCCTTAGATATAAATTCCAAATGATTTGAGATAAAATGATGATTATAATTATGAAATAAGGTCACTCAGTTGCAGTGTATGGTTTACGAAGATTCATTTCGCTGGCAGCAATGCTTTCACCCTTAACGTAGTAATCAGCAGCATCCCGCCTTTTGATTTCAGTGCCATTTTGTTCTTTACTATTTGCTAGGCCATTAGCCATACATGCACCAGTAGCTGCTGTTACAGCGGCCATTGCGGCATTTCTTGCTCGACTCTTTCCTGCTTTCTTGTTTGCATACGACTCTTTGTAAAATTCGTTGAATAGGAAGAAAAACATAACAGCGTGAAGACCAATCCACCAGACGAAGGCTTTCGGGTAATTGCACTCGATGAAGAGAAGTTGGAATGCATGGATCATTATTGCTACGAACTGAATCATCTGCAGGGCCGTTAGATATTTCTTCCACCAGAGATAAGGTTGCATCTGGGGCCCCAGGGCAGCAAGGAGATAGTACCCGTACATTATTATGTGAACGAAGGTGTTCAGCAGACCAAAGAATGTAGAATGACCACCTAACAATGTTTCATGTCATTTATTAGAGATCTGATAAATTTATGGATTTGAGTTCGTTTACCTGGAGTGAACTTTACACCAAACCAAACGGACATTGGCATACATCCGTGGTGGATGACGTGAAGGGTCGATACGTGATCATTCTTCTTCCTAAGTATAAAGAATATCTGGAACACAGAGACATTGAATCAAACAATGAGTTGAAATGCTCAAGTTCATCACTAACTAGTAGAAGAGTAGATTATTACCGTATCGAAGAACTCCGTAAATTTCGAGAAGTAGTACCACCAGCTGGCGTAGACCATCTGTCCACCATGCAACCAGAAAATTAATTAAAGTATGACTCGATTAACAGTTAACTAGCCTGGAGTAGGACAAAACATTTCAAAATTTTCAACATCTTTTCAAACAATCCAGATAATACCTTGAAAAAGATGTGAAATTCTTCAATTGAAGAGGAATCATTTTGTCCTAAACTCCAGGCAGGGGAAACTATCAAAGTGGAAAAATCCGTGCAATTGAGAATATCTACTTTTCACGCAACAAATATGTAATCAACGGGACCGAAAAAATTTTTTTAAGAATAGACAGCGCTTGGAGGGAATAATAACAAAAGGCCAAATTACAGTATGCACCCGAGAAATTCAAGTTAATACAGCGTGTAACTCTATTATAATTGTTAATTAATACCATAAATCCAGTCTAAGGATGAAATCATCATAACTTGTTCAAAATACAAAGCAAACCCTAGACAAGTATTACACCTAAGTTAAAGCTGAAATAAGTCGAGCTGTTCTCGTGTGCATCGACTGATTCAAACTGCATAAAAAGAAGAGAAAATTTGCAAAAAAAAAGAAAGAAAGAAAAATGTCAGATTTTTTTTTTAATTAAAAATCATTGATTTCCGAACACCCACCCTCAGTACTTGGGGTTTGTCGCTGTACTCTACGGGTTGACACCTTAGTGAATAGTCCCCAGTCAGCCATCCGGACATTCCTATCTGTAACCACAACCAAGGAGAGGCCATACTCCAATCAGATAATGTAACCATTGCCATCACCGACTACCGGGTGTTTTTAATTTTTTTTTTTTGCATTTCGCTTGATTACCCAAAGAATTTCAATTCAACACTCAACTCTCTACAACGAGATAATTCTATTGAGTTTTTTAGGTAATTATGGATGGGAGGACATTGCCAATGTGATTTGAAGGTCTGATCTTCACTTGACACATGGCACAATGTCCAGGAAGTCAATGATATCATGACTGTGAGATTTGAGTAATGAATTTTTTTTTGTTTTTTGAGAATTCATTATTCTGCATTGTAATAAGTAGAACATGAAATTATGTAAAGTCCCTAATTATTTGGGAATTAACGTAGATTATTCTCTTGATTAAGAAAATGATTACTCAATTCTACGGTCATGATTTCCGGACGATTCACAACAAGTTTACAATCTATTTACATTATTAGTAGTTATTTTAAAGTATATGAATAATAAGCCCAACGAAGCAGCCATATCTACTGATATCCATCATAATATCCAGCGCCAAGTTCCAAGCCTAGAGATTACAAAATAAATAAATAATCATATATAATCCATGATGATGGCGACCTGGCAAGGGTTGACCGATGCACTGGGGAATAAACACAATCAGTTCTTACCCTTACGGCTGTTGGGCTGTTGGAATAGTCCACTGGTTGACAGCGAAAACTATAGTGTCCCCACCAGCCACCCATCAGGCTCTGTATTTTATCAAATATTATGTAATGATTGTTCTCGAATCGCCAATCCAATGCCAAGTGCCAAATGATCGTTCTCAACTACTCAATTATTATTGATTAATACTATTTCATTTCGTTATCAAAAGAATTCTAAATTGTATACGTAAAATTAGTAGTAGACTTCATTAACAGATTTATTGGATTAGATAAGAATTTTAATTATAATGAAAAATTGATTGGATTTTTTTTCCAACTTTTTAATCATTGGATTGATATGACCGGCACGTCACACTTTTACCTCAATTCGAGTACAACTTTCAGTGGAAATGTAGCACGTCTAAGCTGATTACGAAATTAAAAAAAAAAAAAATACAAGGTAAGAAAAAAGGACGCATAAATAACCAAATATAACGATGAATCGTATTTTTTTTGTAAGAGATAAAGTATCAAAAATTGGTTGCTTTACCTCGTAAAATAGCCATGCTGAGAAAATAACTTGAAAGAGGTTGTACGCAATCAGGACATTTTTAAGTTGAAATGGCTTTCGATTCTCCATGAGCTTTGGGCCTAGAACTTTAACTAGGTACACGTAGCTCAGGCATATGAATAGTGTGGGAAAGGGAGAACTCATTAAAAACCAATTGGTCGTCCGGGAATCTATAAAAGAAAATATAATGAAAAACAATAGATAATCCAATAATGATGAAAAAATATAATAAATCGTCTCGAATAGCTCGGAACATTCGCCAATCAAACGATTAAATGTGATGAGCCGAGGTATGCGGTTGAAAGAACGTCGAACAAATGTACGTCATAGACGAGTGAAGTTTTATGTATAGCGCCTTGTGTTTTTCATTCGGTGCAATGTCCTGCTAAAAAGGTCTCAAGGGCGGACTTGTTATAGCCACTAGCCAATGCATCATGGAAAGACCTTGTCGATTGTTTTTACATTACCGTACTAATCTCATAAGTATTTTCTTCGCGATCGATAAAACCAGTGGGGCATCATTAATAATTAATTTTCCAAAATTCACAAATGCAGAGATAATTCGAGTGCATTTGTAATTCTTATAATTGCTCGGACGTTTCTTCTTGAGAATAATCCAGAGAGCAATTACAACGATTTTCGTGTTCTTAATTATTACATTGCAAGGAATGTCATTTAAAAACTCATTTGAGATAATAGCGATGATGTTTCTGTCTTATTTGAATGGAATGGATCTAGTCCGATTGTGCAGGTGATCTTGTAGGAAAGAAATGGGGAATTTTTCAGGGTTATTCGCTGGAGCCTTTCACGGTTATTATTGACCACGACCTTGTCGAGGTTCCTTTCCACCATATATATAAATATGAACCTTGGTTCATTGAGGGAATTCACCCGGCAATATTCTACTTCGTCATTGCATTCTGCAAATTCATTGGCTTTTTTTTCATCAATTTATTCCAAGTGGATATTATTTTTCTTCACTCATCTGACACTTCGCACAAAGACTTGTTACTATTTAATATAAAAAATTGTGCTCGATACAAGAAAAATTTTGATAAGAAAAAAATCTGTCAGTGCTGTTATCGGGCAACTTACCTGCATTTTTGTCCAGAATCTCATGGAATCGATCCACATACTGCATTACGATCGACATGTTTGCCGATGGGGTGATATAAGTTCAATTATCTAACGTATCAACTCCAGGGGTTTTGAATCAAGATTTAGGACTGTCCAAGTCCACGAATCTACGTCTTTTCTGTAAGAAAACGAGTCAAAGTCCTTGAAAATTAGGAAATCATTTTGGGGGCGACACTAGTGTGGATCAGGGCTAGGGGACATTTCCTGAATTCAATACCTCGGTGGAGAGATAGAGTATGACATACCACGTCACGTATGAAAAAATCGTATAGAAATTTTCTATATGGATTGCGTATAGAATTTCTATAGGATTTTCGTATATGATAGTCGGATATGTCTATACGGATATTTTTTATACAAATTATTTCTATATGATTTTTATAGGTTTGAGCCTATACGATCCACTACCACACGTATACAAACATTTCGTATGGAGTTGCGACATTTCTCTACATTTTTTTTGGAGCGTTTAGATATCTTTCGTATGAAAACAAAAATTTATGTCAAAATTTATGTAGGGGAGGTTGGGGTAAAATGGACACTTGACTTTTTCTAAAATGTTAATGACGGGTTGAAATGTTGATGAAATTTAATAATTTTTTTTTTTCAATACAAACAACAATTCTTTCCCTTTGTGATGAACTTAAACTGTTCTTAATTAATAAATTTGTTTCTGAGTTATGAATAATTTTTAAAAAGTTTAAAGTGTCCATTTTATCCCACCCTCCCCTATAGAAATACATTAAATACATTAAAGAAGGGAATTTATATAGCGTTCCACATCTTTGTGACGTCATAGGAAATGATTAGATGGGATTTGGATGAGATGGGAGGGGAACCGGGATTATTCTCAATATGAATAACCAGAAAATTTTCACTGTACAAAAATCGATACTGCAGACCGGGATTTGAACATGCATTCGTATAGAAATATCGGAATATCGTATACGGAATTCCTATAGAATTTCTATACGCAATCCCTATAGAAAATTTCTATACGATTTTTTCATACGTGATATGTTAATCGACGGCATATTACTTAAGCGCTATTTCACGGTATTTCTTGTCCCACGAAACTACCGGTATGTCTATCGCACGTTTTGTCACACGCAAGAGTATACCATTTCTACCGGCAAGTGACCATTCTGAGATAAAATTTTTTTTCTCAAATATCTCAAGGGCAATTCATCTCCAGTTCCCGGGGTGAATCAATAACAAATAAAATATGCAATCAATTTTAATGTGGAATAACAAAATGAGGAATTATCAAAAGTCATTCTGTCGGCAGAATTGAGTATTTTCATTAACTGAGGACTGTAATGAACGAGAAATTGACCCACATTCTGATGATGTGTGATTTCGCAATAACAATTTTGTTTTCATTATGAAAAATAGCAATTGCGCGATACGCAACAAGCGTGGGTAGAAGAAGCATCTCAAATATTTTTGAGCTGACATAAAGAAACGTTTGACAGAGTGGACGGATGCATCACTTGATTTTTAATGCAGCATGCATTGACTTGACCCGTGTACACACGACCTTTTTTTTTGGTCCTCTCTCTCTCTCTCTCACACCCTCTTCTATTCATGAGCCATTCATAATGCATGAAAAATAACAGATTAACGTGGGGTGATGAACTTCATTAGCTAATGATTGTATTTCCAATTCAATCGTGAATAAATAACGATTTTTTCCATTCAGTCAATGAAAATTGATGGCAAATGTCATGAATTTTTCGCTCGATTTATTGATATCAAGTCGTAAATATTTGAAATTGAAATGACCACGTGGATGATGCTACACAATTGCAAAATGACACAATATTATTTTCTTCAACGAATGTCCGTACAAATCGCCCGAAAACGCGTCGAGCAAGCGAAATACTCAACAATTGCGAAAACTGTATACATTAGTGCTATGGAAAAAGGGGGCCACAGGTACATAAAGTTACGCAAGTCAACACTTTGTCCAAGAGCGTTTGCGTTACTCGATATAACGACAAGTTGATTCATGTCCAAATTGTGGAGGTGCTGAAGCGAGGAGGAGAACTTGGACAATTACGAAAAAATTACTGTCGAACTGCCGGAAACGCAGCACGTGGGGAGTAATGAGAATGCATTAGTGACACGTGTCAACTTTTGCACTTTGATCTTGTGCAAACGTAAATATCGTGAAATATTCTACAAGCCAAGTCCCCCTCCCTACATTTTTATTTAAATACAATGAAAAATTCTGGGCTTTTGAATTGTTGGGTGGTAATGCACTTGTCACTCTGACTTGTGATAAATACTGTGGAATGTCCTTCCGTGTGTCCAATGACCTTGAAGAATCTCCAGACTATTTGCTGAAGTGTCTTGACATTTCTTCGAACCTCCTAGCTTCAGGATGTTTATAAAATCATCAATTTTATTTCTTTCGCCACCTACAGCTGTGTCATTATGATATTTCACTTAGAAAGTTGATTCAATATCGAACTTGAACTTTATAAATTCTCTCAATCATTAATCATAAAAATGATTTCGAAAATCATCAACACCATTTCAATGAGTTTTCACTCTGAAACCTTGATGAAAATCATTACAACACTTGTCATAAATGTCAATGCCACCAGCATTTTCGGGCCCTTTCAGATTCTATTCTTCTCGAACAATACCAGAGGTAATTAATTCTCAAATCAATCTCGTCCCCCTAAATATTGAGAATTTATTAGATTTCAAAATAATCTCGAGGCATTTTACCTACAACAACTTGTACTGACAGGAAAGTGCAGAGACGACGATTGCGGCTGCCTAGGACGTTTTAGAACGTTGCGTAAGGAAAAGTTCGATGGAGTAACGAAACAATCGACGAAATGTTACGTTTGAGGTGTAATCGAATGGCACGCTCTCAAAATCGTATATTTATTTTCTACATTAGCCGGCCATTTTCTCTCGTTTATTATTATTATTTTATTATTATTTTTTTAAGAAAATAACCTTGATACTAGAGAAATATGTAATAGTTAGATTCAACATAAAACAGGTAGCACTCATTTAGAGTTGGTTATCAGTGATTTACAGAAAAATAAACATTAGATATGTAGTCTTGAGAGGAAACGTCTCCGTCTGATTCGAATATTAGCACAAAAGTGTTAAAGATAGTCACGTTATCTCAGGAAAAAGGGAGTTCAATGTTTTATGGGGACTTTTAGCCGTACTAAATTGATATTTTTTCCGCACGGAGAGAAATATTAAATAAAAATTACGTATCTTTTCCGTAATTTCGGAGCGAAATGTGGTTGTAAGAAATTTTACGGAGATGTCACGGAATTTTTCCGGAGCGTTCCGTAATTTTTATCTGAATCTCCTGTGAAAAAATTACGATACCGTCACTTAAATTTTCTGAGTCGATTCCGTAATCGGTGAGTGAATTGAGAGTTCCGTAATTTTTACTGAACATTTCTCTCCGTGCGCAATTTTCTTCAATGACTGAAATCATACGACAAATCGAGCTGATTAATATTAAATCAATTAATTGGGCTAGCTCTGTGTTGATGATAATTTTGAGCATTGAAGGACTAGATTATTGGATCATCTCATGAAAATCATCAATTGAACATGAGCAAATCAAAGTGACAGTGGTTCTAATGTCGTTGTATCTCGTCATGCCCAGTCGGACTAGCCAGGGAAAGTGCATAGCTCTCCACTAAAGCTAGTGAACGCATTGGACTCTTTAGCCTCAATGTGTAGGATAAATCCACCTTGTCTGTAGACACTAAAGTTATTTAAGCAGAGGTGGAATCACTTTTACATAAATTTCACACGTTCAAGTCCTTTCTTGACGCTACAAATGATTTTTTTTCTTTTCTCAAAAATTTAATGAAATCTTCTCAACGGCTGCTCACAGTTGAATTGAATGAGTAAAGCTCCCAATCGGTGGGCATAAAGTCGCATTTACTTGTTGATTAACCACGCGGATTTCCGTGCACAGTTAATTTTATGTAACACACTCATTTGATACTGGAGAATGACGTAAAAAAATGTTGGAAAAGTGTAAAATAAGTGGCCGTGAATGATTAATCGCAATGACTCTGCTGATAAACAAATTAAGAGGAGAACAAGATTCATAAAATGTGTGATGGTAGAATGCAACTGGTGAATATGATAGGGTTAAAAGTCAAGAATTTCGTTGGGAAATACTTGGAAAAAGATAAACGTCAATAAAAATTATTACAGAATTTTAAAAAAACAGATTTTTAATTGAACATAATCTCTCAATAGTGGAGAATGGATTGAGACAATAAAACTAAAGTTGGAATGAAAAATAAACGAATAACCAGAATTTCCTTGACAGTCAAAGTGAAGAAAAAGCGACAAAACATCGGGAATCTCATCGCGGTGTCTCATGGCTATAAAAACGGCATAATCCTCGAATGCTTCGCCTAGATTACCATAATTATTTCGAAGAATGTCATCCATAAAATTCCCGAACAAATAAATTATATCACCAAAACCGTATCATTCTATAATCGATAAATACGTAAGAGAATTCTAAAAATATTGCACCTCCGAAAAATGTTGGATTTATATGGACGTATGTGGGAATAATATGGAATTCCAGACACTCCTTGGCCTTCTATCAGTGAGGGCAGTTACACAGGCACTTTGGCTTCCGTCATTTTTCAAGGATAACGACGACAGTTGTGCGAGTGGGGGACAAATGGGTAACAGAAAAATAGTGATAAAGGTGTGTGTAAGAGAGAGGGGGAAGACGCATTCGTGAATACGAGTGGATTTGAGTCGAGTCCATCAAGCGCACATCAACCACGTGCAATGAAAACGAATGAGTATGAGGACATCACTTTTATTTTAGGTTTATTAGATTTTTATAAGGCAGCCTGAGGTTTATTTCATTTATCTTTCAACAATGGAGTGTGCAATGAAGTAATAAAGAGCTTTGAGTGAGTCTAGAGAAACTGAATGTGAAAATGATTCTTCAAATAGCTCGAAAACTAGCGAATCTTTGGGAGAATAATCATCAAAGTGTCTACGAAAAATAATTAAAATCAATCTTTTGAATTACATTCTTTATAAAATTTACTATTTGCTCATATTTGCTGAACTGTGCAAACCCACGCCGACAGAAAATTCAAAGAAATCTAATCAGCGGATTATCTACTCGTTCAATTCGTTATCAATAAAATCGATTGATCTATCGATTATTGAAAATATTTTGCAATATTTCAGAATGGCAAAAAAATGTCGTAAATACATCAAACTCTCAACTCCCCGGCGCCGGCTGCCAACACACTTCATACCTACTTCTCTCCAGATAATCGCAGTTGCGTAACTGAAAGGAACTATTGTTGCCGCACAACATGAGAAAAAAAAATCATTTACATTTTTTATTCACCACCAGGGTAGGACGAGCCTCGAGGAAAAAATACTCAACGTTTAGTTATAATGCTTTCCTTACCAAGTGGTTGACACTTTCTTCAGTTGATTAAAAAAATACTGAATCACGTATGAAAACACATCACTGAGAGTTTTTAAATTGATTAAAAGTTAAAATCGATTAAAAAATTGTTTGATTGGTTTTTCCAATTTCAAAAAACTCGTAAAAATCTCCACTATATTGGTGACGTTCAGTTGTCGCGGAGAATCATTGATAATAATTTCCTTGGTTTAATGAATTTTTTGTCTATCACAAGTCAGTCACGACTATTAAAATTAATTGAAAAAAAAAAAAAATTAGCCACTGCGGTGGCTCTATCCTCTATATAACAATGCAACTGACAGGCGGCAAGACGGAGCATTGCTTTTTAACCTCAGCGCCATGTTGGTATCCGTCGCAGATCCCCTCCCCTCCCCCGTTCACCTCCCACCGCTGCCCTACGTCGTCTCCTCGCAGTTCTCTCAATCACCTCGATGTTTTTTTTCTCTCTCTCTCTCCCACCTTTTTTCACCACTGACGGTAGCAGTCAGCGACGATTGAAATGAACGGACCGAAGGAACCACAACACACTCGCAAATTATTCGATTTTTTTTTTGCATTAATCGGTAGTTCCCCCGAGTAGAGCGCATAGAACCCACCTGTGGATTTCGAGTCACGTGATGGGGGGGAGTCAGACCTTTAAACCGAGGGCGGGATAGAGCCAATGGTTCGTGGAAACTATAATTCGAAATGTTGCAGTATGTTTATTGGGTTCTTTCTGGATTTAACGGGGTGAGTGGTGGGTGGAGGGAGAGGGAGTCATTTTTTTTTCACCGCTGCTTGAGGAACTTTCCAGTGAGGGTAGTACACGACCATCTCAGTTGAAGGTTGAGACCGGGACAATGAACCCCACAAGGAAAAGTAGTCGTACGTGTCATTGATATTTGTCTATAAAAATTGGAGTATTCAAAGTAAACAATGGGAGGAGCAATTATTTCATATTTAGTCCCTCAATTTTTCTAGATCTTCCTGTGGCTCTTTGTAAACAAAAAACATAGGATTGATCGCTCGCCGAAAAATTCCATTAACAAGAAAAGACGAGAGATAAAAAATAGGAAATTTCTGGAAACCTGAATTAATCCGTTTTTATTTATTTGGGATAGAAATGGAGTAAAAAATAGTTTGTAGCAAAGTGAGAATCACCGGAAACTCCCCCGAATGGAATAATAAATAACGCAATTGGAGAGAAAAGAAACTTGGTATCAGTGAAAAATTGGAAACGTAATTAAGCATGACCTTGCAGACACCTGTGACGTACATGAATAAATGCCCGTCGCATGCCTAGTCCGCTGCGTAATCTCTATCAACGGAATAGTCGAAGGGATTAACGGAATGATAATTCGCATTTTGTTATTGTTCTAATCAATCCTCGAAAAATTAGAAACTCAGTTAACTGAAGATTAATTATCGATGAGTGGAATTGGGTCAGTATTTTGTGGCTTGAGTTCACACTCAGGCATTGAAATCACCTGATCTGGTCTAGGATTGTGTTCTTTTCTCATTGATTCGTTGTGTCCCTTTCACAGTTGTTCCTGAGGTGATATCGATATTGAAATAATTGTTTTATGTAATGAATTAGTAGAACGAGAATTTAATTACCAATAATTTTGTTTTCAATTTATCAATCTTTGTTATTGACATTCGATGAAAAATTATAATCCATACCTATTATTCAAAGAAAGACAGGAAGTAAACGAGGCAAATTGTAAGATGAATGATGAGTGATCCAGCGATGATCATTTAAAATAATTGTATCTAGTGAGATTCAATAGTCGAGGCTAATAACGTCTGCAAACTAACTTTCCTGTTTACGTCACGACACCCAGAAGAACACTACATTATCACTATTTATTTGATTTTTTTCAATCTTCAAATGGCCGTTTTGCCTCACCGTGATTTTTAGTCATTTCTTTTTTTTATTGTTCCTCATCGGAATAGTGAAAAGTGATGGGATGACAAGGTCTGGGCTACGCAATTTTCAAGTGTTCTTTATTTTGTCATTAATTAGCATTTTGGTGTTAATAGATAGGCCTTCGCTTTCAGAAATGTACAAACTCTGCATTAAAATTGAAAGGGATGCCTCTTCCATCTTGATTTGGGACAGATTTGAGAGTGAAATTTTTCGTGAGGGAGAGAATACTCTCCAAGTGCCTCGTCTCTCCTCCTCTTTTCACAAATTTTTGTGCTCTTAATTCCCTATCACCATCATAGGAATTAATACACACGAAAAGTCGGAAGGAATACTCGTGTATTTAATATTTTTCGCAATGCCTTTGTTGTTGTTTCGCCATGTTCTTTCCAAATTCTATAAATTAGGAGTAATTCTTCTCAATCAACTCGTCTCTCCTCCTCTTTTCACAAATTTTTGTGCTCTTAATTCCCTATCACCATCATAGGAATTGATACACACGAAAAGTCGGAAGGAATACTCGTGTATTTAATATTTTTGGCAATGCCTTTGTTGTTGTTTCGCCATGTCCTGTCCAAACTCTATAAATTAGAAGTAATTCTTCTCAATCAACTGAGCATTTCTCTAACCCCTCTGTCATATCTGTCCGTACATGGTTTAAATTTTCAAAACACGGGAGGTCAATCAATGCAACCCTAGTCCCAATGAATTGATGAAATTCCAATAAAACGATGTCAGCGTCAGGTTATTAGGTCAATACATTTAGCCAATTGCAATCTAGTTGTTCGCACAATACACGTTATTAACATCAAGATCTAAGCACAATCATATCCGCCTTGATGACAATTTTTTATTCTCACTCGTATTGGAATGTTAAAAATTAATTAAAGCATTTAAGGGGAGACTACCGTGAGCTTTAAAAGTCGTGGGTTATTGGAATGAGACTTTTCATACGTTGAAAATCGTTTATGTAGATCTGAAAACGAATAATTAGTGCAAAAAAAATTTTTTTTTATTGTTCGTTTGCCCGAAAATGCTTGAAAAGCCAAAAACAGTCCAGGGCCTCCAATTTTTGAGCTACGAATGATTTTTTTTTCAAAATTTTCGGAAAAATATGTGGAATAACAATTACGAGCTAGTTTTTTTTTAATTCGCGTCTTACATGGCTAAATTTGCTTTTTTTGTATCTTTTTACACAAATAGTGAATTTTTTTATATTAAAAAATAAAGAAATCAGCTGTGTAGGAGTCGAATTCCAAAAAACTGCTCGTAATTGTTGTTCCACACATTTTTCCGAAAATTTTGAAAAAAAAAATCCTTTGTAGCTCAAAAATTGGATGTCCTGGACTGCTTTTAGCATTTTAAGCGTTTTCAGGCAAAAGAACAATAAAAAAAAAATTTCCGCACTAATTACTCGTTTTCAGATCTATTCAATCAATCTTCAACGTATGGAAAGTCTCACTCCAATAACCCACGACTTTTAAAACTCATAGTAGTCTCCCCTTAATCCCTCCCCTATTTACGGCCGGAAAATTTTTTGGTATCCTCGTATTTTTTGGTATTCTCACTGCGAGAATTTTTGAAAGAATCCAATAATAGAACAATACTATACTCGTAATGACAATTCAAATGAAAGTGAAAATAAATTGATTCTCAAAGCATTGCTACTAAATGACGATCTATGCAGTTATGTTAGCAACCGCCTGGTGGCCTTGGCCTACTGTTTCACCCACTTCTGGAGTGTGATATACGCGATGAGCACACACAAAACGGACTCGTCACAGAGTTGGTAAGAATTGCATAACCGTATGTGACGATTTACCAAGGGATGTAATACACTAAAACAATGAGATACATTCCAATAATGACAATACATCTATTTCTTTTTTCCTTGATGGGTGAAAGCCGCGGTATTTCCTGAATGCTGGCAAAAATGAGAATAACATTTTCGAAAGCTACGGAAATTTCAGCTGGAAAACTCAACATGACGCCCTTCTTATCGTTAATAGTATTAAAAAATTTCAATATTTTAGTTTTTCTCAATTTCTCAAAGTTAAATAGAATGAAGAGCTCGTCAGTCAGAATTTTCCATCAGAAATTTTCCCACCTCAAAGTGCCAAAAGCAAAGAGGAATAAGTTGATTGCCGTCAACGAGTGCGGAAAGAAATTGAAATTAATTAATAGACGAGTAGAGGTCAGAAGTCAGATGTATGAATAAAAAGTGCCAGAATATTCACGCACCGTTGTATTTAAATGACGCAAAATGAATAAATTTGATTCACTATGGACTTGGTAAAAAGGTCGTTAATCACATGCCACAAACTTGAAAAATCCTCGACCCCTGCGGGAAATGAGGAAGGGACTTGGTCACTTATAATATAACTCTATGAACCCCTGTCAATGCCACGTGATGTCATTGCCCTCACAATTGCCAACTCGCTCTCACTGGATTAACACATTTTGGCATTGATGAACCGCTGTTCGAAGGTCTAAATACCTAACTTCTTTGATAATTTATGGACATTCTAGTGGATAAACTAGAGATATTTGGCCTTTCACAATTTCCCCAATGTCTTTCACTTCAAGTGAACATTTTTTTTTATCATAAAAGTCACACGTAAGAACCAAACACTGTAAATTTTGTATTAGTAAAAAAACAAAGTCTTTTAATCCATTGAAATTGAGGAAAAATGGTCATTACCTCAATTAATATCATTCCGACAATGCCCAAAAGTCCTTGGCACGCAATGATTAATCTACCATCACTCAATTTTCTTTAAAATAAAAAAATCACTGAGAATTTAATCATCAAAGTGCGAGCACGTGGGTTTGCTGCGCTCTAACGAACTCACGTCATCACGTGACACAGGCGCCGCTTCGGTCGCACGCAAACAGTGCTCAGTGGAAAATCGTGATAAAAGTCATACTTAGATTCTCCTGACTGAATTCACCGAAAACCGTGGTAAAAAACACTGATAAGGTATTACAACAATCCTCAAAAACTGGCCGGTCATAGCGGAAATATTGTTTTCGATTGTTCACTTTCCATTCAGAGCGTCAATGGTAATTTCATTGAGAGGAATTACTCAGTATTACACGCGGTGAAATTACACCGAATATTTGCGCAGCAACACTAGCTTGGTCCCGGTTAAAAATACATCATCCAGCAGCGAGTAAAATTCTCCCTCCTTTTCCGCCTTTTACAATGCTAGGGACTTTATTTTTTGTATTGAAATGAAATTATGAGAATAATTTTTTCATTACAATTTCAAAGTGGGAGCTATCGAATTCTATTTTCTGTTTTATCCCTGTACAGCATTGCACTATTGTTATAATTGAATTTGCCGTTCATCCTTGGCTCAAGATACAGAGAATTATCGAGTCTCGCACCCTATTCATTGATAGATGCTAGGGACAGTAGGAAATACAGAAATGCACGATAGGTGATTGAGAACAGATGTTAACAGGGTGTTGACGTTTGTTCCATTTCATGAATGTTTTTTTCTTCAATTGTTAATGTGACACATGCCTCCATAGTTGATACGAATTTCGACAAGGGATAGATATTCCAATGAAATAGATAAATGAAACAATTCATCGAGTGAGTCTTTTAAATTTTCTTTTTATTCATTCGGTGTATTTTTCTTCTCAATTATGTACAAAAATATAATGAGAATCAATAATTATTACAGAGTTTTAACATTAGGTGCGTGACGATGCCAGATGTCTACAGAATCTCTCCCCCTTTCGGTCGACAATTTGAAATTTTTTTCAATGTTAATTTAGTTACTTTTTTTTTCAAATTCATTCATCACAATCAACGTGCTTTATTTACAAGCTACCTAGTGATTGTATTTTGGCAGAAAATAAACCAACGGTTTTACACAGTTCCTCTTTAATTATTCATCAAGGGGAGGTCAGAGACCTGTCGATGTGTATCTGTTATTCACTTACAAATGGCCTTCTGCAGTTGAGTGATAAAACGTCATGAGTAAAATATGACAGTTCCTTCAATTATCATGACAATGAGTGGCCTTCTGCATCTTTTGACAATTTGTCTCGACATCACTCATTATAGATGAAATGATTCAATAGTCCTTGAGATATTGGAAATTAAAACATTTCATTTATCATCCCTCTATTGAGCTCCATCGATCAATCATCCACCATTTGTTATCTTCAAAAGAAATCAAATTGAAATGAGGCAATATAATTGCGGAATCGGTCGTCCAGCGAATACCGATTTTAGACTGTTTCATGATCATTGAGGATAATTACAAATAATGCAGTGCAATACCTACAATTAATATATTCTGCGGCTTCGTCACGACGACTCGGATAGTCTGTACCATAGAATACTCTGGAAAAATGCAACAATCACGATAATTGTGTAATCCAAAGAGTCGATTACTATAACACTCAATTTTTTTAATCAAGTGAAATAAAAAAATTCATCGAAGACATTTGTATCTTGAAAACCAAGGGGAATAATTATTGGGGGGGGGGGTTCTGTGATTGGAAAACTGCAATTTCTTGGATTGTGAAAATAATTCTAATCTGATATTTTAAAAAATGACATTTTTATTTCTTTATTTCACTTAATATCTCATCAAAATTAACGACTCATTTTCAGGAGAACAGAAATTTCACATTGAAATAACGCAAACATTTTCCTCATTCATTTGCTGCATATCTCTGCACACCCACGCACACCATTTGGTAGAAAAATTGTTAATGACCTTAATTAAGATGCCCTAAATTTCGTCTCGATATCGCGTTCATCGTAAAAAAAAATGAAATTGAAAATTTATAATGAGAAAAGAAGTACGAAAGAGTGATTTCAAATTTTTCAAGCCCCTAATTCCTCGAAATATTTATTATTCAAGAAATTATCAGTAAAATGATTGATAAAAAACGCATCATTGCTCGCAAGATACTTTCAACAAATCCCCCAGAAAAGCAAAGAATGGAGAATAATTGATCTGCTGATTGAAATGGATTGAAATGTTCACAGAAATAACCACAATAAAGCGAAGCCATGGGGATATTTAAAAATTGAATATTATTAAATTTCGTGAAATGTCAGGTGAATGACCTGTTCACGAATCGAGGCACGGTTATATTAATGTAACTCATCAGCTGTTAATCCTCCAATAACTATAATGACAAATCAATCGTGAGAAAACATCATTCAATTCATTCTTCTTCATAATTTTTTATCCTCAATCAATTTTGCATTCTCAATTTTTACTTTTACTCGATTATGTTTACATGTAATCATTGCTAAAGCGTTTAACAACCACTGAAGCATTGAACACAGTCGGAACAATTTTACAATAATAAAATTCCTACGACGAATAAAGACTGAAACCCCATTGAATCCTTACCGTCAATTTTTACTTGTGCGTTATTTCAATATTTCAATTCACTAATTTTTTCTATTTTTACATTAAAAAAATTCATCGCAACCTCGATTCGCCGATTCAAATCTATCCTCGAAGACCATCAACCAATCAAGCTCGGTGCTTGATAATTATTCTATTTGACAAGAGAAAGTGATAAAACAATTCAAGCCCAAATATCGTATGTACAAGTTGTAATGACGAATTATCTCATCAATGATAGACTTTAGGAGGAAATATCGAGATAAATTTATCAACATTTCCCCCTAAACTCCCCCAGAACATTCCACTGACAAAGTTTTACCACCTTCACTAATTAATTCTCCAATCATTACAAATTCACAGAATGAGAAAATAATCAGTGAATGGACTTGTCCAATGCCAATCCTCAATTCACATTATTTCTCATAAATTATTAATTTCATCAGTTTCAACCATTTCAAAGCGACAACAAACGTCGAAGACTGCATTATAATTTCATTAATTTTTTCACCGCATCTCATATTTTGTCATATCAATGAATAAATCTGCCAAATAATATTTTACATTTATCTAAATGATATAAATACTACATTCTCAGTATCGATGTAAACGTTAAATCCCTCTCTTTCACAGACTCACACATCAATTAATGAAAAAAAAAAATGGAAAAAAAAATATAAACACATTTAGATCATTCATTCAGCATTCATCCATGAAAATTTGTCCTTTGGAACAACAAAATGAGAAAGAGAGTAAGTCCTCTTGATGTTGCCAGGGAGCAATCAGACACGCATTAATGTCGTAGCGTGATTAAAGCGCATAAAAAAACATCAATTATGATTTGTAAATGGAGGCAAGGAAGAAATTCACGGCTGATCGTTCGTTATATTTCCCTTAGTCTTAAATTCCCCTCCATTTGCCCTTTATTCCATTTCGATTATTCCTTCGGCGAAAGAATAAAAAGAAAATGAAAAAAAAAATCATTAATTAATGAGAATAATGAGGAAATTGTCAGTGATATTAAGCCAATTTCTTCTCATTGTTGTTGGCAACGTAGCCATTGTTTGTTCCATTGCTGTAACAACTGTTGTACTCCTTATTGTAGATGGTTGTATATGTTGAAACACCATTTTGCTTCAAATTTGTTTCACTCTCTTCGAGAACTGGCATACAAGCGCCGGGGTTTTGACGACGCTTAGCATCCTGGCCGATATATTTCTCTTTGTAAAAATCAGAGAATAGACCGAGGAATAGAACACCGTGGAGACCAATCCAGATCATGAAGCTGCGAGGGTAGTTGCACTCGGTGAAGAGGAGCTGAAACTGGTGGCCCATTATCAGGACAAATTGCACCTGAAAGGAGAAAATTCAGTCGAAATTTGATGAAAAATACCAAGAGAGAAAGAGAAAACTTTTTTATCGACGTCTCACTCTTCAATAAAGTTTGTGGAACCATTGGGAGAGCCATTAGCTTTGTGAATAAATCATTCAAAAGTTGAGTAACTCTTTTCCAGCGTTTATGAAAGCGAAGCTTACCAAACTAATCTCACCCAAAACTGAACACGTAATATTGATAAATACACCATTGAAAAATAAATTAAGGACTTACCATTTGGAAGGAGGTAAGATACTTCTTCCACCAGATGTACTTTTGATACTCGGGGCCCATGGCAGCGACCATATAGTAAAAATACATAATGATGTGTACAAATGTATTTAATAGTGAGAAAAATGTACTATGACCGCCTGGAGCGAATTTGAGTCCCATCCAGACTGAGAATGGCATCACCCCGTGGTGTATAACATGTAGGGTAGAGACTTGTTGATTTTTTTTCCTCAGGATGAAGAATAACTGGAATGTAAACGATCATTAGAAATGATTATCAAGTCGTGTTAGCCTTGCATACATCCTCGATTATGGAATTTCAATTTCAATTGAGCTCGTTACTCGGTGAATGGCTATTACGGACTTTGGATTGAAGAAAAAAAAATGTAGCAAAAAAATTGAAAACTCATGTGATACGTATAAACGGGTGAAAAAATTTCCTGTAAAAAAAATCCCATGAAATTTCAATTTTAAATTACGCACTACTGAAATAATTGTCTAATTGACAATTCTCATCATTTCACTTTTATGACACACGAATGTTGAATAAAATCCTGAGGATTTTATACAACAACTCCTTATTGTACAACTCCACTACTCTACTTACTGTATCAAAGAATTCAGTGAATTTACTGAAATAGTACCACCAACACGTGCCGGCCATTCTAAGGGCTAAAGGATTATTTGAATAGTCGACTGGTTGACACCGAAAGCTGTAACCTTTCGCCCAACCGCTCATCAAAAACTGCGCAGAACAAAGTAAAAATACTATTAGTCATGATCATGATTTTGCTAATAGTGTTTATTTTCAATGGAGGAGGTAATTTTTCTAGGAGTGAGGCAATGAGGAACAGACATTTAATGGTCTTTCATGGTTGAAGTTTGTAAATTTTTCAATGCTACTTCAATACACTTAGGCGTCGTTATCTCAACCGGCTAACCGCAAATATTTGCATTCATTCTAGCCGCGAATTTACATCCGGCAATGAGAAAAGGTAATTCTGATAAACAAATCAATTTTACTTTTTGCGGGCAACAAAACTATTTTATTTTATTTTTTTAGATGCATTCCTTCATTCCATGGCTATTCATCACAATTATAGCATTTCATTAATTTATTCAGCAATTTAAATTGTCCATTTGACTTGAATCATTCAACATCACCGATTATTCAATCGAAATTTCTCTCGAAACGTTACAATTCACGTTGTACGTTATGAAGACCAATTGCGTTACGTGTCAAGGTCGTTCCATTTCAGCATTATACACAGGAGAGTGTCTCCGCTCGACTTTTTCTTTCGATGTCAGGGATAAATTTTTTCTCAATTAAAAAATAAAATAGCACGAAAAAAAGAAACAATTGAATCCCACTCACTGGCATCAACATTTTGTAACATCTATTTCCCGTTTAGTATTACGAGACTCAACCTACGCAGAATTGTACTCTTGACGAACAAAAATGAACGAGTGCATTGCAAATAAGACGTGAAAATTATTGAAAAATGCGTGTGAAACCGCACGTCATAACTTCTTTTCAATGAATGCGATCATTTAACATTTTTGACTCATTCAGTCAGTCATGAATTATTATTGAGCTGTGTACTTTGACCCTCGTCAAGAGTCAAAATGATGAAGTAGGTGGAAACATGACGTATACATTGAAAAGGATTATTCAAACTGTTGAACAGAACAGAACAGAGCAGAAGAACAAATAAGCATTCCAAGATATTTTTCTTTGAATCTCTTTCATTACTGTCCCCTCTCTCATTCCCTCTATGTACTTAGCCATTACGCTAACGGACAGCGGTTATACATATGCCCCTCAACCCTCTCTGTTCTCACTTTGTTGAAAAAAAAAATGAAAAAAGAGAAGAAAGCAACTGGTGGATAAGCGCCACATCGTTCATCGTTTACGTTATGCACCGTCGCGTCATTCTCTCGTTTAATCTACCGATGTTAAAACGTAAATAACCCCGATCGTCGTATATAATACCTTTCTTATGTTCCAACTCACTAGTATATTAGATTTTGTCCTTGTTCAATTAGCGTTATGGTACTCTTAATATATCGATTAATGGGGACAAAGAATATTACGGAAGTTTTCACTGGAGCTTAAGCGTTGGAAGGGGCAAAGTTTGACGATGGATACTGAAATTTTCATGCTGTGCTCCCTCAATTCTCCATCTCTACCTCCTTGAATGCATAATTAATTCGAGTTCCAACGAGGAGGGAGATTAACAAGCCCTCGTGATAAATCATTAATTACTTCAACCTCACTATGGGGTATTTAATAAAAAAATATATATATTTTGCATGTTTTACTGTGAATTGTGACTGAACGAAATGGGAACAGTGCTAGTCGTAATAAAGTCTAGTTAGTTCTCTCGTTAGTTGGTATGTTAATCGATCGATCTGCACTACGGATTTTCAATGAAATTAGATTAGCTTGGAGAGGGATGCAGAGAAGGAAATGTTCTCAACGTGTTCTCATTTATCGATCTGTCACTATTTATAGGTGAAGAAAAAATTGTGGGTGATGGGGTAAACAAATGAGGATTAATTCAATACTCAACAGTTTGTTATTGGAAATGAACATTGTTATTGCAATTTTTTGAGGGAATGGCAGGATGAAGACAATCGATTGTCGAGTGGAACTTTTAATTAGATACGTAGAGTAGACAGTGGTCAATTGTGTCACAGTTTTACGTCACTTTGATCTGTGCAATGTATGTGTGCAATGTGCAGAGCTTGATTGTAATAACTGGGACATGCATTGTAGTTGACCAAGTCAAATGTTAATGTTGATGTTTGTCGCTGAGATGGGCATAAAATTGAGGCGTTGAGACTCACCTCATAGAAAATCCACGAGGAAAATATTGTCTGAATGAAGTTATAGACAATGAGTATCCTACGCAAGTTGAATGGCTTACGATTCTCCATCATTCTTGGGCCAATGACTCTGCTGAAATAGGCATATGATATGCATATTGCCATCGTTGGTAAGGGACTGCTCATCATTGCCCAGTGGGCCACTCTGGGATCTGTGAATAATGAAAAGGCTAAATAGAACGAGGAAACGAAACAGATCGGCCAACTCTGGTTTGTTTTACTTTGACGATTGTGACATATTTCAATAATCGCTGTTTTCATAATTTCTTTTTCTTTCAATCATTACTTTTTATTTTTCATCAACTGTTTTGTTCGACTGACATGGAATTTTGAGTGGCGCAATGAACATGACCGTGTTCATTGCGTGAACTGAGGCTTCTTCCGATTTGGCATTCGCCAATCGTGCTCTTTCATTTCTTTCGGTTCTCCTCGGCACATCGTTCACGTGCCACTTTCACGAAACTCGATTTCCAACTGTGATACAATGACACTTGAATTTTTCTTTTGTCCCTAATCGTTATGAATTCAAAATGTTGATTGTTTTGCCCAAAAACAACACCAATTCTTCGAGTTGAGAAGTAGAATGAATGAGTAAAAACATATTGTCCCCGTGTTCATTCATATTTATGCTACGCAGATCTTTGTATATGGACCATTCAAATTTTCCCGTTAATTTCAATCGAATCCCGGGCAATACGAATAGCCGATGACCTTCCACATGCCAGAGTCGAGAAATTTTATTACGTAAACCATTGAAATTAGTTGGATAATTTTTTCTTCAAGATTCATCGTGCTGACGTATTAGTATCGTTTTACAACTTCCGAAATGGCTACATTTCTCGGTGATTCCGGGCAATAATTTACATTGAGTGTCCCTGACAAACATCACCAGATATTTCATCACTTTTTTTTTTAATTCTACCATCACTATCCATACTGTGTTATAGAGACAGCAAATATTGAATGAACGAACCCTTGTCGATGAAATGAATTTTTAAAAGTCATTGCGAAAGAATAATAAATTCTAGAGGAAAAAAAAAACGTGAAATTCATTGAAACATCCAAAGAGATTTGTCTTCCCATGAATGAAAAATGGTGATTTACTCACCGGATCTGTTGTCCATGAGGTCCCTGTACCCGTGTATCAAATTAGCTACTATGGTCGTCATTTTTGCCTCGATGATTCACCTGTGAATGGGCAAAAAACACTGTAATCTTTTCGAGACAAGTGCATATACATTACATTATGTAAGTTCACTGTGGTAAAGCTAAACAGAGCATATTACGGACGACAAGGCGGCCTGATACGATAGTATCACATGTAAATACACAACATGGCATTTTTGTTCCCCTTATTTTCGTGAACAAATGAAATAAACAAAACTCATAACTGCGTTTTAATAAAATTACTACGACTACGATTCAGTGGAGAGTGGAAATTGGAATGAGTTTTCCGGTTGGAGAGCTTCAGAATCTTTCAATGGATCCAGTAAAACACAGATTAAATTCCAATGAAAAATGTGATTCGAATCATTGGAATTTACAATGACATGAAGGCAAAAAAGGAGGTCACAGAGGGTCTTCCTATAAACGTCGGTGAGGAATAGACACGTACATCGTAATGCACCCCATTTGTCGAATTTAATTTCACGGACAAGAAGAAATAGAAACCCCCGCCCCTAGTGGAACTGCCACCCTCAGTTCTTCACGAAAAATTTAATTATCACTCCAAGTAAAACTCCTCCCCCAGCGTTTAATCAATGTCGATGTTTTTGAGGAAGTTTGAGAAATTGGGTGGATGAAAAATATCTTCAAAAATCTCGAAGGTCGTCAGTTTTATGCATCGACAATGAGTCCAGTCATTCTGTCGCCTATACTCATCGATCCATGGAGTCGCGTGTGTACGAGTATGTACACAGTTGCCCCTTTACGCCTGTAATAGTCGGTTCGCCTCAAGCGTCAACCAAGCAGGTTGAGGCGTTTAGTAACTTTCTCGCCGTCACTACCGATCTTCTCTTTTTTTATTTTAACAAAAATTTTTCCTTTTTTTCTTCTCAACTTTTCCCTCTTTCTCTTTCACGGCAACTTGACTCACAGCCTCTCCTTTGAATTTTACGTAACAGACGAGAGGTAATCGGTATAGGACGGATGTTTGCTGTAAGAGAAATGGTCCCCACTCTACGATAATCGGTAATAGTGTTGCTCAAATTCCGTGCGTTCCTCGCCATTTAGTTTAGAGGGTGACAGTTGAATATTGTTGAATGCCAATGGATTGAGTGTGAAAAAAATGTAACAGATTATTTATTATGCCAGTAGTGCTGCAATCATTCATTTCTCTCATCAGTCACGCGATGAGCAATCGATTACGATTGAAAATCCGATACACTCTATCTGAGTACGTGAAACCGACCCCTTTTTTTCTTCTCATTACTCCTGATCTATTCCTAATCTTGATGCAAACCGTAAAATTTGAGCCACTGATATCCGTCTGCACGAGACTATTACTCGGTCGACAATCTGTTGTTTTAATTGCTAAGGGCAAGGGGAGTATTATCTTTTGTATTGAAGCCGCTGATGGCCAACCAGACGCACGGTCTTTCCCCGATTACTCAGCGTAATTACATCACACAATCTCATCACACACGTGCCCAGACGAGCCCGCGATCAGCGGATCTGATCAAAAGAACGAAATTTCAACTTTGTTTTTTCCCAAATTTGAGTCTTGATATATACGTCAGTAACTTTCCAAGTTGCAATGTTAATTGGAGTACTCAGAATAATTTGGCTTATCAAATTATACACAAGTGAAAGTTGTAATGTTCACTACAATAATTTATTGTCAAAATTTTAACGATTTTATCAGGGAATTCAAGCGGCAGAATTTTACACTGTCTAAAAATAATATTCACCGTATTGTGCGCATTCCCGAGTAATCCGACACCTCCCACAATGCTGAATTTCCAAAGTCTCCGATACATTATTATAATATCAATGAGAGCATTAAAAATCATCACTTCAAACTACTAAAATAATTCGGGTGAAAGTTACAACCTGAACCAATCGACCGATTACTGAATATACCAACGATGGAAACTATTCGCCAGCATAACATTCATTGAATTATGTAATGATCGTACGATTAACGACGACAATCGATTCATTCAAATATCTACCGATCTACTCATCAAATATGTAGCAAAAAATCCGGAAATTGCACACAGACATTTCCATGAATATATGAACCGCTTAAATGGCACAACAATTTTAATGATTGTATTGTGGATTAAAAAAGATCTCTCAATAAATTCCAAGATGAGTTCCAAATCATCCCTCTTGTAATTATTCCCCAATGTGTACTGCTCTATCGCTCAACCTCAATGAAAGGCAAATAAACCAATCTTCCCAAACAAATACCCTAAAAATCTTTTTAAAAATTTCGATAAAAACACGCGATATTTCAAATCGTTTCGAGGCCACGAGGTTAATCACGAAGTAACAAAGTCGACAATACCGTAAACTCCCTCGACATTCTTCAATCCTCTGCAATTAAAATTCCAAACATGTCGTAATTCGCTGGACTGTTAAACTGACACAACTATCAGTGCAGGTCACTCCAATAAAAAAAAAAGAACAAATTATTATTGCTCCTCTTGGATGACGAAGAAAAAACCATAATTAATTTCAAACGACAGACAAGATAAGCTTATCAATCAAATGTTTATTAATTCATCCAATTACCCAACTGCCGGCATTCTTCTGTCATCCCCCCCCCCCCCCC